TTCATCTGTTTACTTGTTCAAATATCAGTTGCCAAATTTTTTATATGCTCTTGGCCTCTTGGTATTGGTATGGGAGAATCAGGGACCTGCTCAATTTGAAATGGCTACTTTTTTAATGTACATGTAGTATGAATGGCCCTTTACAAACTTTGGTCATTAAATCAATAATGTTACTAAATTATTGGTTAACAATCTCGATTTAAGAAAGGAATTTTGAAATGACTTTTCAAGTCTTGAATGGCAGTTTTTGCTTTAACTCAAATACTGTTTTATAGATTTATATAAATATCTAGATATACATAATACTGAAACATGCTGGAAGTCTACGACACAGGTTTTAAAGATCATGCATTTGTTAAAAGGCCATTCAGTTCAAAATGAAGGAAAATTATCTCTGACCTTCAAAATGTTCATTATTCTTTTATAGTGCCATGCTTGAGGCATTAAATAAAAATGAGATGGATTACTATCGAGCCCCAAGTATAATTCTCAATATAGGAGATGGAGCAGTCAATGCAAGAAAGAAGGGAAAAACATTTGGTGCATTTAATCAAGCAAAGGACAATTCAGCTAGTAAGTCAATAAAGAACAATACTGTATGTGAGTCAATAAGGGATATTGAATCTGTATGTGAGTCAATGGGGGATTTTTAGATAGTACTGTTAATGAAGCTGTAGTGTTCTGGGTACATGCGCTCTGTGAGAGGCAAAAGTAAAAGGAACAAAACTAAATAAGTTTTTAGTTGGCTATAATGATGTCATTTTTATTATTAGCTCACATGGTGAGCTTTTGCAATCACTCACTTGTCCGTCTGTCTGTCCGTCCGTCTGTCTGTCTGTCCGTCAACAATAGTGGCACGTTTTAAAACCTCTGTCGATAGGATTCCTGTTTTAAGTTATTTCTGTTCAACATAAATACAGAAAACTCCCCTATGACTCCTGGTTCAAAAGCTCGCCTATTTTCAAAATGGCCGCCATTTTGTCTTGCGAAATTCACTTTTGACTAGCACGTTTTAAAACCTCTGTCGATAGGATTCCTGTTTTAAGTTATTTCTGTTCAACATCAATACAGAAAACTCCCCTATGACTCCTGGCTCAAAAGCTCGTCTATTTTCAAAATGGCTGCCACTTTTGACCTATTTCCTAGCTTTACAAATAATTTCAAGTGTCCTACATTGTAAAAATCCATGTCAATGTAAAGAGTAGATGTATGAAATAATTTTGTTACGAGAAATCAGCAAAAAATTATATCCATTTTTTTATTTTCAGCCATTTTAGTTAACATTGATTTGTCCATCTGTCTCGCAAAATCCACTTTTGGACCATTTGCCTTAAACCCTCTGTCGATAGGATTCCTGTTTTAAGTTAATTTTGTTCAACATCAATACAAAATACTCTCCTATGATTCTTGGTTCAAAAGCTCGCCTATTTTCAATTCAAAATGGTCACCATTCTTGTCTCGCGAAATTCACTTTTGGCCCATTTCCTAGCTTTACAAATAATTTCAGCTGTCCTGCATTGTAAAAAGCCATGTCACTGTAAAGAGAAGTTGTATGAAATAATTTTGTTACAAAAAATCGGCAAAATATTATATCAGTTTTATTTAACATTCAGCCATTTTAGTTAACATTGATTAGTCCATCTGTCTCTCAGTCAGTCCAAAAAAGTGGCTATTTTAAACCTCTGTCAACACTTTTTAAATCCTCTGTAGATAGGATTCCCATTTAAAATAATTTTGTTCAACATCAATAAAGAAAAAAACCTGTGACTCCTGCTTCAAAATCTCGCTTAATTTCAAAATGGCCACCCTTTTTGTCTCGGGAAATTACTTTTGGCCCATTTCCTAGCTTTACAAATAAATTCAGGTGTCCTGCATTGTAAAAAGCCATGTCTTTGTAAAGAGTAGTTGTATGAAATAATTTTGTCACAAAAAATCTGCAAAAAATAATACCCGTCTTTTTTATTTTCACTTTTGAGCAACACCATGTGAGCCCAGTACCCACGGTACTAATTTTATTATAAATTACACAATGTTATGGAACAATACTTTTTGCCGATAGGGCTAACATTCCCCGATAGCTGACTACGGCAGCGAGCCAAACCAAGTATGTGAGTCGATGGGGGATGTTGAGTTAATAATATAATATCTACATTTGCATCCCCATGCTAAGTCAATGACACCCTCGCTAAAATCCTCATTTTCTCAGAAAGGCATTTGACTGAGTCTCAACAAGTAGATCCATGTGGGAAAGTATTGCTAGAATCCATTTTCAATAGTAAGAATAGGGGTTCTTAACAAGACATTGAGCTAGCTTTTTAGAACTTTTTGTTGGTCCAAATTGAAGAATGTCCAGTTTTGATTAATTTATGTAAATCATTTATTTCAGCATTTTTTGCTCTGGAAACTGCCAATGTGAATGACCCTGAAAATATATTCGGCCACACTGTGCTAGAAACTATGGTGGAAGAACTGGATGAAAATGAAGTAAATAAAGGGAAAGACAGGCTAGTGGATGGAAAAGATAATGATTTGGCTAGTTATAATGAAATAGCTGATAAAATGTTGAACTATGTCATTGGTGTTTGGGAATCAGACCCAAATGCATTAAATGCTTTTTCAAAATGTGGTAAGTATGATAGCATACATGTACATATGATTGTTTTAAGGTCAAGGTGCACATTGATGAAATTCAATGGCCATGTGCTATTTTCAGAAAAACATAACTCATTCCACACATCATCTACATCTTTCATTTTTGCACAAAAGATGCACTAGTGTACCTAGACTATTAATTGAGGGTTGATGATTCTTCAGAATGTTTGCAAAATTAGAATATTATAAATTTATACATGTTAATCTTATTGGAATTTACGGAAAGTTCACACTTTAGCTTTGTAGTTGATGCCCAAAAGGGAAAGAACAAATGCTTTCTTCTCTGTTTCAGAACCACCTGCTCCAAATCAGGATGATGAGTTAAGTGAGTGGACATTAAATAAGTTTATTTTGTGTCAACACTGCATAAATTTGTTTTTTAGCAAACAAAGTTTTTGATAAAAAACAACAAACTATTACCACTAAAAAAAAGTTGGCAAAGTAATGTTATGATTACAAAAGTATTATTTCAAAAATAGTAAACATTACAAATTTGCAATAATATTTTATCTTTAGTCCCTGAGTATTCAGAATGGTTTGAAGGAGAACCATGTCCAGTAACTTGTGGTGGAGGACAAAAGCAAGAAATACGATTCTGTCAGAATTGCCCAAGTCTTGATGTAAGTGAAACACGAACAGTGGATTGTAACACAGATCCTTGCCCAACATGTAAGTTTTCTTTCTTTATTTTATGCATTTCTTATTATACTGTAGTCACAACTGTATGGCAGCCGTAGCTTCCCAAAATCGAGAGAAATATGCAGCATAAAATGTAGGGATAAGTAGTATGATGTGGATTTTCAAAATTGGTTTTGTGAAGTTATGACCGCCTAGCTAGAGAAAATGTCTCTGAGGTTTTACCAACAGCATCGACAGTGGTCCCCTTTTTGATAATAGGGAAGTTAAGCTACACATTTTGAAAATAACTTGTATGTGAAAACATAGCATAGGGACTAGTTCTCCACTTTGTTGTATGTGAATATGTAGCATGGGGACCAGTTCTCCGCTTTGTTGTATGTGAATGTGTAGCATAGGGACTAGTTCTCCGCTTTGTTGTATGCGAATATGTAGCTTGGGGACCAGTTCTCCGCCTTGTTGTATGTGAATATGTAGCATGGGGACCAGTTCTCCGCTTTGTTGTATGTGAATATGTAGCATGGGGACCAGTTCTCCGCTTTGTTGTATGTGAATGTGTAGCATAGGGACTAGTTCTCCGCTTTGTTGTATATATTCTAAAGGTAAAAAGAACATAGTTTAAATGGGTTCTTGGAAAACATCAATTGAGGGGAACAGTAGTCCCTGGGGGTTTTACATTCATACAGCTTATCCTCCTTTGATTCCACAGGATGGGCTGGCTTCTTTCATGACTAGGAAATGTACCTCAATCAAATGACATCAAAGGTTTTTGTAAACATATGGAACAATATTTTGTATAATGTTTATGATAATGATCAAATCACCAAGGATAATATTAGACAAACACTCAATGAAACCTGAACCTGAAGAAGGTAACACCAAAACAGAACATCAAAAAGAAATGCAAAACCAAACAGCTTTTAATGAGTATCATTATATTACAGTGCCAACTACGCCTAGACCTAAGCCAACCACTGTAGCATTGGATGACACTCCTCCAGCAGGTAAACCACCCACCTTTCCATTCTTTTTATAAAGTAATTCTTATTTAGAGTAGATTAAAATAGATATACAAAGGCTGATCCAGAAGTTCTGATAAAATGCTGTATCTTTTTCTTAAGTGAATGAAATCACTTGAAATTTTTTTACAATCTACATATTTATATGCCTATACAGCAGGGAATTTTCAGAATGATTAATTGATAGGACTTTCTGTAATTACATTTTTCCTATCCCGTGGTATATACAGGTACTTTTATTGTATCCTCATACAAATTTGTGCCTCGGAAAATTGCAGCCATTTACACTTCATCATTGCATCATCAATCATATGCACTTGATAAATTTCATAAATGGGTTACATATTGAATGAAATTACTAGATAGAACATGTGACATGTTTGTGATTGCAGCTTGCAGCATTGACCTTGCTATTATATATTGAATGAAATTACTAGATAGAACATGTGACATGTTTGTGATTGCAGCTTGCAGCATTGACCTCGCTATTATATATTGAATGAAATTACTAGATAGAACATGTGACATGTTTGTGATTGCAGCTTGCAGCATTGACCTTGCTATTATATATTGAATGAAATTACTAGATAGAACATGTGACATGTTTGTGATTGCAGCTTGCAGCATTGACCTTGCTATTATATATTGAATGAAATTACTAGATAGAACATGTGACATGTATGTGATTGCAGCTTGCAGCATTGACCTTGCTATTATGGTTGATGCCAGTCAAACTGTGTCTGAACAGTCCAAAGCTGTAATTGTTGAAGGTGTTGAGAGGATTGTAAAGAGATTAAATCTGGAAAAGGTAATTACTTTACAGTATGACAGGCCTGTAGCCAGGGGTAGGGGGGTTAGATGGGTTTGAGCGAACTCCCCGTGGCCAAAAAATCATGCAGTTTTTCACCATTTTGAGCACTTTTAAGTGATTTTGGCCAAAATTTGTATTTATATAAATATATTGTACTCTACATTGTATTTCTATAAATACATTGTACTCTACATCGTATTTCTATAAATACATTGTACTCTACATTGTATTTCTAAAAATACATTGTACTCTACATTGTATTTCTAAAAATACATTGTACTCTACATTGTATTTCTATAAATACATTGTACTCCGCATTTTACTTCTATAAATACATTGTACCTTACATTGTATTTATTTTACTTCTGTTACTCCAAATTTAGAATTGCCAGCTTAATGTGAAATAAACTGAACTAGTAATAATATTTTTTTCAGGTTGGTTTAGTTGTGTACAGTGGTGATATAATGGAGAAGGTCACATTTGAAAACTCTGCAGATACCAGTGTAGATGAAGCACTTAAAGCATTTGAAGCAGCAATGGCACTTGAGGGTGCTGGCTATAAAAATATGATCCTACCCACTAACAAATCACAGTAAGGCTCCTGTAACAGTGCTACATTATATCATTGACAATAATTTTTGGCTTATTAAGAGCTGTATCTTAGATAGCAACTTTCCAAAATGAATTACCAAATGTTATTGATATTGCCCCAGTGATCTTTGCCATTCGCTACATCATACCTGTAGTGCAGTCATTTCTAGCATTTATTATTTTGTAAATTTATTTTTCAGTACCATGCATTTAGAATTATCTAAGAATGAGATGGATTACTACAGAGCCCCAAGTATAATTCTCAATATTGGAGATGGAGCAATTAATGCTAAAAAGAGAGGAAAAACATTTGGTGCTTTTAATCAAGCAAAGGACGATTCAATAAGTAAGTCATGAGTAAATATAAATACTTTGTGTCATGCTGGTAAACAATACTGTATAAGTGATAATTTTGCCTAATCATTTGATTTGCCTATTGCCTAATTTTTGCCAGGTTCGGGAAACTAAATGTCAGAAATATTGTCTTCGATTTCTTGTCATTAGGAAAATGATAAAATGACCATTCGGTAAATTAACCACTAGGATTAAATACCACTCAGGGGCGGATCTGGGAACCAACAAGGGGGGGGGGGGGCAAAACTTCTGGTCTGAGGAAAAAAAATTTGGGCCCCTAAAACCAAAAAGTGGGCCCATTTTCTTCAAAATTTGGCCTGAAATTTAAAAATAAGGCCTTACAAGGCCCATTTATGACCAAAAAGGTCCACTTTTTCAAGGCCTGTTTTGGCTCAAAATATTTTTGGGCCTAATTTTTTTTTCTGGGCCCCTCCCAGATCCGCCAGTGCCACTTACCTGTATACAGTGATCCAAATGGAAGCACATATTTCATTAAAAGTGAGGTAAAAAAAGTCTGATTTTGTTAATCATTTATTTCAGCATTCTTTGCTCTGGAAACAGCCAATATGAAAGACCCAGAGAATGCATTTGGCCACACTGTGCTAGAATCTATGGTGGAAGAACTTGATGAAAATGAACAAAATAAAGGGAAATACAGGCTAGTGGATGCAAAAGATGATGATTTGGCTAGTTATGAAGAAATGGCTGATAAAATCATGAAATACGTTGTCAGTGTTTGGAATTTAGACCCAGCTGTGCAGAGGGGTATTGCTAAATGTGGCAAGTATAATTTTTGATGAATTGTTTTTATATAACTGGTTTTTATATTGCATAATGATGGTGTGACAAAGAAGTTTGGGTCAGAGCCAAAACTAGATTTATTTAGTTTCCGATCCGACATTGAACTTTTGATACCTCCCCTTAATCATATGTAAAACACATTTTTATTTGTGGCTATTTCCTCTTCAATTTCTAATTGTATTTTAACTAAATCTGTTTATTAACATATCAATTAGAATATTAACTTGCCGGAAGGTGATTTGCCCCAACCTTATATATTCACTGTACACATCATGAATTTCTGATATAAGCCTATTGATTAAAAAATATACTGGAATATTAATTGGAGTATTCTGATGTGAGGTAGTTCAATAGGTTAATATACCATTTCAGAACCACCAATGACTTACACTCTTGATGGAGATTGGATTCCACCTCAAGAGGACGAATGGAACGACTGGACAGTTGGTATTTGTGACAAACCTTGTGGTGGAGGTAAACGAACAGACACAAGGGATTGCAATGGTCTTAACTGTGTTGGAGATGATGTCCGTGTATCTGATTGTAATACAGAACCATGTGGTAATTAATGAAGATTAATTCCTTATTGTATTTTATTTCCTTTACCACCAATACATTTCGGAATACCTCTCGGGTTTCTCCCGTTTATGTATGGTCATAATTTGCAGAAGTAATCCTGGAAGACATACCTAGAAACTATTGCTTGAAGGAGTCCCTTGTTCCTATATTTGAACTCATAAATACATGAAGGCAAACAAGTACACACAAAAGCCTTTTTAGAAGTCATGACCATTCAGATATCAACTCCCTGCTCAAGGTTATGTGACCAAATTCTATTACAATACAGGGATCTATTTTCTAGGATTTTGCTTTTTCTCTGCTGCTTTTCTAATTGTATGAGTATTTTGTTACTTAGAGCCAGTAGAGCCAGTGTATTCTGAATGGTTTGAAGATCAGGAATGTGACAGGAGATGCGGCACTGGAAAAAGGACTTTGATTCGTTTTTGTATCTCTGGCTGTGTTGGGGATGAACGACGTGATGAAGAATGCAATACTGATCCTTGCCCAACTAGTAAGTTACAATTGTACTTTTTTTTCTTTTTTTTGTACCTTGTGCATCGGTAAGATTGACCATTGTCCAACTTGTACGCTATTTTGTACCTAGTATATTGGTAAATGTGACCCTTACCCAACTTGTAAGTTACTTTGTACCTTATATCACTCAGATCTTTGCCCAACTAGTAAGTTACTTTGTACCTTGTAATACTATATTGACCCTTCCCCAACTTGTAAGTTACTTTATACCTAGTAACACTGACTCTTGCCCAACTTGTAAGTTACGTGTACTTTGTACTTAGTAACAGTGACCCTTGCCCTACTTGTAAGTCTTAACTTTAGTCTGTACCTTGTATATAATAGGGATCCTCACTCAACTAGAAGGTTGCATTAAATGAAATCTAGAGCAACCAGTTATACTTTATTGCAGCTGGACCTGACTGGTCGGATTGGACAATTAGTGAACCCTGTAGTAAAACTTGTGGAGGGGGAGTACTGTTAGAAACACGTATCTGTTTCACAGGAGATTGTGCTGGAGGCTCTAGGAGAACAGAAACTTGTAACACAGAGCCTTGCCCAGGTTACTACAGTCATCTTAAATAATTTAAAATACTTTACTTAAAGGACCCATATAAAGTTGAAACCACTTTGGATTATATTGACGTCTTACCTAAAATGTTATCAAAATGTGATATGTGAAACTGTTTTTTAAATTCAAAAATTGATAAAAGCATATTTTCGAACTTTGCATGGGGCCTTTAAAGAATTAGATCGGTAAAGGAACTCGGGATATCATACCAACTAGAGAACTATTGTATCAACTTATATCAAGTTAGAGGCTTGCCCTAACGATTGGCTTACACAATATTATTAATTGTATTTATCATGTTTTGCTATAATATTGTGAGAAATGTTATCATACAATCAGGATTATACTGTATACAGTTATTTTCCTATGTGAAATATTATGTTATAAACTATGTTCACTTCTGTGAGATGACAATCTAAGTGAACAGTCGTTGTGTATATGAATATACAGTAACATATAGTCAATGTATTGGGTATGCTTGTATTAATAAGTGTATCCAGATACATGATTTCCAAAAATACAGGAATCAGTGATCCAGTTGCCTTTCATAACTTTATTTTGTGGAAGTTGATTGAGAATTAGAAATCACTGCCTGTAGGCATACGAGGGTCGTTCAATAAATACAGATACGAACGGAGTGCTATTTCCATGTTTATGAAGGAATTAAAATCATTTTAAATATCAGGTAGTTTAAAGTACATAATTTAAATATATATGAATTTCTTTTTATGTGCCAATACAATGTATTGAAATTTTGTACATACATACATACTGTAGTACCTACAATTTCAGAGATTTTAAATTAAATTCCAAGATAGACATGAATTACATTTGTATTGGTATTCATTGAACACCCTCTGTATATATTGTTGATGCATCCCACATATGCATCACTACAAATGTTTGACATTTGTTATACAGGCTTGGTATAAAATTGCTAGAATTTATTTTTAAGTATCTAGTTATCATGAAATACAGGCCTTCATTGTAAGATCACATGATATAAAATTGTTGGATATTTCATTTTGTTTAATCAACAAGATTTACGAAAACTGTATTTCCACTGTTCTACTGGTTCATTTGAGTTTCAAGGAAGTGTGTTTGAGATAGTGTCGTATTGCTTGTATCTGCAGTGATTCCTCCTATTGGCCAGGCTACAAGCTCTTATCGCCCTGATGGAACTGGACTCTTAGATGCATCTGGAAGTACAGATCCTGATGGCAGTATTGTTAATTACAAATGGATTTTGATAGGGTAAAATTATATGTTTTATAAGAAAATAATTGAAATACTTTAATTAAAGGCCCCATATAAAGTTTAAACCACTTTGGTGTATAATATGTAGAAGTCTTATCCAATGTTATCAAAATGTGATATGTGTACTTTGTTTAAATCTAATTTTTATGTCACCACCAAAAGACTCAATTTTTGGTCCAAAATATCCCCCAACTTAAAATACCAAACTGTACAATCTTCCATTGTTTGACTTTGGTAAAAATCTTCTTTCTTGTGAAAATTCTAAAATTGAGAAATTTCTCACCCATTGAAAGTTGCTTGATGAGTGAAATTTATAAGAGGAACATATGGTCCTTAAAATGTTAAAGAGGCAATTTTACTTTTAATGTAAACAAAATTATATTAAGTGCCCATTCTATTAACTACACTTCATGTTTGGTAGTTCATTCTAAATAATGTCTGACAAACCTTCATTTTAGGGGTCCACCTGATGGTGTTTCAATAGTACCAAGTCAAGGCAACAACCCCAAGTCAGAGGTGTATGGTCTTAAACCTTATCAAGAATATGAGTTTTCATTGGTTGTCGTAGACGATGATGGAGAAGAATCAGTGCCAGTTAAGACAAGACTATATTGTAAGCCATCGTTGTAGAATCCAGTTACAGCTTTACTATTTTTTGACATTTCAACTAGGCTATAGTATAAGTCATTGTTGAAACCAGTTTCAATTAGACTATAATATAAGTCATTGTTGAGATCAGATTCACCTGGAATCACCTAGTGTTCAGATTAGCATAAATTTGGACCAAGAAAAGATGTTCACTTCAGATTATAGTTTTTAGATGTAAAGATTTCACTGTAGAGAATATTTCAAGTCATTGTTGAGTTCACTTACAAGCACATCATATTCATTCATTGTTGAGTTCACTTACAAGCACATCATATTCATTCATTATTGAGTTCACTTACAAGCACATCATATTCATTCATTGTTGAGTTCACTTACAAGCACATCATATTCATTCATTGTTGAGTTCACTTACAAGCACATCATATTCATTCATTATTGAGTTCACTTACAAGCACATCATATTCATTCATTATTGAGTTCACTTACAAGCACATCATATTCATTCATTATTGAGTTCACTTACAAGCACATCATATTCATTCATTATTGAGTTCACTTACAAGCACATCATATTCATTCATTATTGAGTTCACTTACAAGCACATCATATTCATTCATTATTGAGTTCACTTACAAGCACATCATATTCATTCATTATTGAGTTCACTTACAAGCACATCATATTCATTCATTGTTGAGTTCACTTACAAGCACATCATATTCATTCTGTTCACACTGTGTCTTGTTTTACAGTGAGTCCTCCCCAAGCCAAAGCTACAAGTGAATATGTACCAAACTCAAATGGAAAAGCAACACTTGATGGAAGTGGAAGCATTGATAATGGTGTAGTAGTTGATTACAAATGGAAGTAAGTATGACCAAAAAAATTACCAATGGGATAAAATTTCTTAATGACTAACGTTAAGCCAATACTGTATTGTAAAATGTATGTTCACCATGTAACTGTATTGTAATTGTTTTTTGAAGTTGCTTTAACATGTTTTTTCTTTGAAATAAAAACAAGGTAATGTGACCAAAGCTGTCTACTTTAAGGTTTGAGTTCTGGATCAGTTACTTGCATATCAAATTATTATTTTACTCTAGGTGAAATATGTACCCCAGAACTTGAATTTTGTGAATTTTTTCAATATTTTTTAATGAATTACCATAGTGACACCTCAACACACATCCTGTCAATGATATATGCAATGTCATTATATCCCATTCCAATATGAATGTCAAAAGATTATTTAAAATCATTGCATACTTTTTGAAAAACCATTTCTCAAGGTGTATATGCTTATCCCATGAACTAACTAATGATATTGCCTTTCAGTGTACCCTCTGGTCTAGTCTTAAACCACCCAGATAGTAGCAGTCCCTTTGCAACTGTCACTGGCATTCAACCTGGCACAGACTACACATTCAATTTACTTGTAAGAGATGATGATGGCTTGGTATCTGAACCTGTTGAGACTAACCTTAGAGGTAAACATATACTGTATATTCATAAAATGTAAAGAGATTGAAAATGAGAAGTCACAAAGACAATTCATTTAAAAACACTTAAAAGATGCAGATCTTGTGGAGCATATAAAAGCACATAAAGTATATATTTAGATATATACAAGACATTTACCATTTACAAGACATCATATTGGACTGGGGCCTTGATTTTGTATAATCCACAATCCAATCTGGATACATTTTGTCAGGTAATGATTAGGCATTGTGGGATTACTCTTGGAATTTATCCTAACATTGAATCTGATTCAATCATACAAATCTATGGCCCCAGTGCAATATTAATCTATTCTGTTGAATATATCTTCAAACTTTGCATGGGGCCTTAAACAATTCTGTTTCTTTCAGTTGAGCAGCCTGTGGCAGTACCAGAGGTGGAGTACACTGGAGATGGTAATGGAATACTGAAAGGAGGAGCTAGTTTTGATCCAGATGGAACCATTGAAGCATACCAGTGGAAGTATGTACAGAATCTTGTAGTTATAACAAAGAAATGAAGAAATGGTTCATGACTAAGGTAGAAAGCAGTGTCACAATTAAACATGTTGGCATTCAATGTATTGCCCAATAGGCAACTGTTTTTCATGTTCATTGCCAAGAGTGAAAACTTGTTGCAATTGGCAGTCAGGCAGCTGACCCATTTTTGGAATTGTTCACTTGCCCATCGGTCTTATACTATACGCCATGTCATTTCACATGGTGAGTCTATCGTCCATCCATCTTAATTAGAAGTCATGTCATTTCACATGGCGAGTCTATCGTCCATCCATCTTAATTAGAAGTCATGTCATTTCATATGGCGAGTCTATCCTCCATCCATCTAAATTGGAAGTCATGTCATTTCGCATACATGTAGTGAGTCTATCCTCTATCCATCTTAATTATAAGTCATGTCATTTCGCATAGTGAGTCTATCCTCCATCCATTTTAATTATAAGTCATGTCATTTCACATGGCTAGTCTATCGTCCATCCATCTAAAGTCATGACATTTCGCATAGTGAGTCTATCCTCCATCCATCTTAATTATAAGTCATGTCACTTCACATGGCGAGTAAATCGTCCATCCATCTAAAGTCATGACATTTCGCATAGTGAGTCTATCCTCCATCCATCTTAATTATAAGTCATGTCACTTCACATGGCGAGTCTATCGTCCATCCATCTAAATTAGAAGTCATGTCATTTCGCATAGTGAGTCTATCATCCATTTAATTATAAGTCATGTCATTTCACATGGTGACTCTATCATCCATTCCTCCATCAATCTTAATGTTAATTCATTTCATTTTCATTCATCCATTTTATACTATAAATCATGTCATTTTATTGTATTCACTAACAGTGGTCCCCCTGGTGTGACAATTACTCCCATTGGGGATGGTAGCTCTGGTAGTGTAAGTGGAATCAAACCTGATATAACTTACCAGTTCTCTCTACAAGTTAAGGACAATGATGGGATTACATCTGAGCCAGTCACTACTAGCCTATTAGGTATGCATACTAGTATTATTAGAGAGATTTCGCAACTCACTTATAGCATGTTTATTATTCCCGTATAACTTACTTCATGCACTATTTTCACCAGAATCATGAGATATTCACCGTCTATTCGGTGATGTCTATGTGAGGAAAGTCACAAAGGTAACATAAGAAAACAAGACAGATGGAATATGAAAAACAAAGCAGCAATTGAAAAAAGTTCCTTACATATTTGACAAAATTAGTTACTAAGAAAAAGCTATAGTCAGTGCAAAATCAAAAAAAGTTCAAAATTCAAATTCTGACTTAATTATCACAGATTTTACTATTTTACTAGTTATGATATATAGCACATTTGTTTGGGGTTATTGCACATTTGTTTGGGGTTATTGCACATTTGTTTGGGATTATTGCATATTTGTTTGGGGTTATTTTATGTTTTGAATATTATTGACCTTATAGTGCAACCTCCAAAAGCCGTGGCAAGTAGTAGCTATACTGGCAATGGTAATGGAAAATTGAGTGCTGAAGGGAGTGAAGATGTTGATGGTTCAGTCGTAGAATATAGATGGAGGTATGTGTTATAATATAATAGAATACAAAATGATATAATGATAATATAACACAATATAATACTACAAAATGATATTATGATAATATGACACAATATAATACTACAAAATGATATTATGATAATATGACACAATATAATACCTGAAAATGGGATAATATAAAGCATTCTGGAAATATTAATCTCTCTACAGTAATACCTGTATTTCGAACACGTCTCTAATTTGAACATTTTCCTGTGTGAACATTTTTCTCCCTTTTGTTATCTCCCATTGATTCACATTTAAAAAAACATTAAAATGGGAACACCTGCTAATCTACAGGACAGACGGAATATGAAAAGCAAATCGGCAATATTAAAAAGAACACTTTTTGCACAAATGGAGATCCCAATAATGTTTGGATTTGACACTCTTTCAAATTAATTTGGAATGAAATAAAAATCAAAAAATAATCTCAAATCCTTGCCCATCAATCAATTAATCAGTCAATTCTGAGAAAGAATTCTTAAATTAAAGGGATTTCAAGTATAAGTGACAATTATTTGATAAATACAGCTTTGGTTTGTTCTTTCAAAATGAGTCTCCATACTATTCTAATCCATTTCAGTGGACCCCCTTATGCTACTATTACTCCAAGAAGTGGCAAGACACCAGAAGTATCTGGCTTGAAGCCTGATGTAAGACAGGAGTTCACTGTGGTTGCCATAGATAATGATGGTCTAGAATCTGCACCAGCAAAAACTACAATATATGGTATGTATGCACTCATTCGGGAGTCAATATTTATTTCGGATAGGGGGATGTGCTTGAATTTCTAGAGTAGTACAATACGTACATTTAACTCATACTTTTCAAGGTTCAAATTGAATATTCCACGATTACATGTATATGTTGCAACTGTATATATATGTGATATACCCAAGAAATATTGCTCACCTTCATTGGTGGTAAACAAAATACAACGAAATTTACAAAATTGTCCGTTTCCCACTTCCCAAATTCAATTAATCCACCACTTCCTGATAGTTATTCATTTATATTTCAGTCCAGTCTCCCACTGCTGTAGCCACCAGTGAATATATACCAGGATCAGATGGAAAAGCAGTACTTGATGGAAGTGCAAGTTCAGATCCAGATGGCACAATTGTGTCCTATGAATGGCGAAATGTGTAAGCGCAAAATCTTGTTATGTAACCATATAGTCTCCAATTTGGTGTCTGTCACAAATGGCAGGTGGTGACATTTTGCATGTTAATGCCTTGTTCTTATTAGTATGGGACAGGGTTACAGATGTGAAGACCAAGAAAGGGTTGTCAATTAAGCAATAGTAAAAGTAATCAAATCAGAAAACCTTAATTTGCACAGAAATATTGAAAATAATAAATTTTCTGGTCATTTTGGGAAAAAAAAATTTATTTTTAAAAGGTATATCTTGGATTGAGTGAAAAGTTCATCATAATTGAACAGATGATTCAATGTATGAACAATGATTTTTCTTCTATTTTCTTCATTGCTTTATAAAATGGTTTAATGATGTTTTTATATTTCTAGTGGCCCCTCTGGCCCTGTGATTATGTCTAGAGGTCCTGGGAATCCTCTGGGAGATGTCTCTGGACTAGAGCCAGGTGTTAAGTATGTCTTTGAGCTAGTTACAACAGACAATGAGGGCCTTAAGTCATCCCCTGCAACAACAACAATCAAAGGTATTAAACTAGCACCAATACATGTATGTTGAAATATGCCAGTTTTTAATATTTAGATATGATTACTCATGGAATCCAAATTCAGTGAAACATACCTGTTAGTGGAACACCTTTAGAACCTCTGAAAAGTGTTCCACTTGAGAGGTGTTCAACATGCAGAGGTTCATTAAACATTACATTATTTGGTCCTGGGACCCTGAAAAGTGTTCCACTAAGTTACTAACAAGGATGTTCCACTTGCAAAAGTGGTCCACTAAATTACTAACAGGGATGTGCCACTTACAAAACTGTTCCACTAAGTTACTAACAGGGATGTGTCATTTACATAAGTGTTCCACTAAGTTACTAACAGGGGTGTGCCACTTGTAAAAGTGTTCCACTGAGTTACTAACAGGGATGTGCCACTTGCAAAAGTGTTCTACTAAGTTACTAACAGCGATGTGCCACGTGCAAAAGTGTTCCACTAAGTTACAAAAAGCGATATGCCACTTGCAAAAGTGTTCCACTAAGTTACTAACAGGGATGTGCCACTTGCAAAAGTGTTCCGCTAAGTTACTAACAGGGATGTGCCACTTGCACAAGTGTTCTACTAAGTTACTAATAGTGATGTGCCACTTGCAAAAGTGCTCCACTAAGTTACTAACAGGGATGTGCCACTTGAAAAAGTGCTCCACTAAGTTACTTACAGGGATGTGCCACTTGCAAAAGTGTTCCACTAAGTTACTAACAGGAATTTGCCACTTACAAAAGTGTTCCACTATGTTACTAACAGGGATGTGCCACTTGCAAAAATGTTCCACTATGTTACTAACAGGGATGTGCCACTTGCAAAAGTGTTCCACTAAGTTACTTACAGGAATGAGCCACTTACAAAAATGTTCCACTCTACTGGTTTTACTATAATTATTAAATCATTCCACTGTGTGGTCTCATTTATGGGAAATATTGTACACTTGAATAATGAGTTATATTAATTTTTTAGTGGAATCCCCTAAAGCTGTAGCCACCGGCGAATACATACCAGGCTCAAACGGAAGAGCAAGATTTGATGGCCAAGGAAGTTCTGATGACCGACAAATTGTATCTTATGAATGGAGAAACATGTAAGGATGTTGCATATATATTATTTGCAACTGTTGCTGGGCCATGTTGTTCACATTTCATTATTGTGAACTGTAAAAGATTATTGTATCTGAATTGAAATATCATAGACGGAGAATCTTTCTACTTAGCAACATATCTAGATTCTGTCAAATATACATTAACATTGTGTCTCTTTCCTTGGTCTGCTCACTTCCTCATTGGACAGAACATAAAATAAATTTGTGTTGGTGTAACATATGTTTTGAGAAATAAGTTCAAATCTTGCACACCTACAAGAATGTATTATCCCCATTTAGTATACTGAATCAATGCCAAATATTTAAAGAAAGTACATGTACTGTATGTATGCCAAATTGCCAAATAAGGAAAAGACTAAAAAGAGTCACAAAGCAGAGCAAGAAAATGGAACATCTCAGATTACAACCAGCCATACAGAAAACAAATCCCAAATATCCCATTTTATAATCATATATGAAAATAAACAATGCCTAATACCACCATGGAATAGAGATATAATGAAAAGTATTTATTTAAACAATTATTTGTTATACCCTAGTGGTACCCCTGGCCTGGTTATTGAAGATCCTACCAGCGCAGTGACAGATGTAAGCAATGTAGAGCCAGGAGTTCCATACAAGGTAGAATTGCTGGTAACTGATGATGATGGGTTAACATCAACTACTCAGTTTGATCTGAAAGGTATGACACTATTTACTTTGGGTTAGAACATTTTAATTGTTCAAACAAGCTTTTGCATTTGTCACTTGTGATGTGAGGTACATTTGAATTGTATAACATGAAATATTTTTTTAGTCTTACTCCAACATTTTTGATCTTTAAAATGAGAAAGAATGATTGGTCTCTGCAATATCACAACTTATTTTTGGAAATAACAAGCTACATGTATGTCTAAGTGCATGAGTACACCTTTTTCTTGTATTATTGTCATTGCTTTGTAACTAAGTGCCAATTTGATGACATGAACTTGTTCAGTGTGGTACATGAATTATTCCCAATACCTCCTTTATTGCTCTTATTAATGTTGAATTACTTTCTCTAGTTGAAAGACCTGTAGCTGTGGCTGATGCAGATTTTATTGGAGATGGCGAGGGGACTCTTAGTGCAGAAGATAGCTTTGATCCCGATGGAAATGTTGTATCATATGAATGGAGGTAAGATTGAAACCATCATTGATGTTCATGTATACAATGAAACATGTCTATATTGATTTTTTTGAAAAAAACGTTCAGTGTTGGTAGGTGTTCACTACAGAGAGGGTAACTTATACTGAAGTTAGTAGAATATGTGTTGAGGAAGGGTGTCTACTATAAAGGGTGTTCACTAAGACAGGTTTTACTGTACATGTAATTATCAGTCCATTGTGTGTTCTTGAAATACATGTTCATATTATCCTTACATCCTATTACAATCAGAATGGTTAACATCTTTTGGCTCACTCTTTATGAGACTGTTAGCTCAAAAATTACATTTTATTTGACCTCTCACATAAATATTTGAATTCCTATACCATGGGCTTGCCTATACCAATCATAAAGGTTTCCAGCAAGATTGAACTTCCTTGTTGTATTGTGATATTTAACTTGTCATATTTCAACAGTGGTCCTGATGGTGTACAGATAATCCCAAATGGTAATGGTCGCACTGGTACAGTACGTGGTGTGACTGAAGGAACATATGAATTCAGCCTGGTTGTCACAGATGATGATGGACTTAAATCTGAACCAGTTACTGTGGAGATGGCATGTATGTCAGTTATTATAACACTTGCTTATATATTATTTTCACTTTTGTTATTGGAGTTGTACTAATCTATTTTTCAAATAATAAGTATATTATCATCATAATCTATTGATATGTGTACGGCTATTAGGTGTTATACTGTATTTATTTAGTAAATCGTCCAAAAGCCAAAGCAACAAGTTCATACACTACGAATGGGGAAGGATTTGTAGATGGCAGCCAAAGTCACGACATTGAAAAGGATGGAGAGATTGTCCGTTACATATGGAGGTATACATTTGTCATATAGTCATGCTGATCATATGTTAAATGATTATAACATTTCTTCGTCATGCTAAATGTTTTAATAAGTAGATGTCTTATGCTATGTTTAAGCCTCAGTCACATTTGCTCTACGGTGGCCGTACTTTCACAAAATTGATATAGAAAATCTACATCGTATCTATCCCTTTATTTTATGCTGCATACTGTAAAACACTTAATATCTGCTACATGCATTATTCGCGAGAGTGCCACCCCCGGGTCAATTTGCTACACATTATATTCCCGATATGCAAAAATTCCCAGAAGAACCTCCCGCCGAATTGAAGGATTTTTTCTCGATTTTGGGAATGTCACTGAGGCATGCATTCGTCATTTGTTTTTTAACATAATTATATTCATAAATGTATGCTTAATTCACATATTTTCACTTCAGTAATCCTGACTTGACATTCACACCACTTGGAGATGGCAGCCCAATAGCAGCCGTGTCAGGCATTGAACCTGATGTCAACTATGAGATCACCCTCGTTGTGGAAGATAAAGATGGACTGCAATCTCTACCTGCAAAAACTAACATCTATGGTATGCTTAACCTAGGCTCTTAATAATGTACAAGCTCAATGGTTGTTTCTCAGGGTATGATATGCCAAAATATTGGATATTTTTTTATCACACTGAAAAAGTTGAGTTTTATATTAATTGTTGTTTTGTGCTGATGTTCTTCATGCAACCACTTACATGTACAAACCATCTTCATTCACTTGATTCTCATCCCACCGAGCATGCAAAGATGCTTACAAACTTGAAAACATTATTCTTGTATGTCTGAAAAGTAAATTACACATATGGTAATATTTTTCTCCAGTCCAACCCCCCACTGCTGTAGCCACCAGTGAATACATACCAGGATCAGGGGGAAGAGCAGTGCTTGATGGAAGTGCAAGTTCAGATCCAGATGGCACAATTGTGTCTTATGATTGGGAGTACACGTAAGTTCTATATGGTCATTCACATTTCTCATCTTTTTTTTTATTTGAATTAGTTGACGGGATTGTTGTAATTTGAATATGTGACTTAATGCTTTATTTAGAGGGTTTATTAAAGGGTCACCCTGATTGTGTATTTTAATGTCGTCCTTATGGTTTTACATTACATTAAAGGACCATTCAAAAACTTTATATCAACGCTTTTGATTTTTTAGGCCATAGCTTTCTTCGAACTCCCCCCCCCCCTGACCAAAATTTCCTTCAAATTCATGCAGTTTTTCATCATTCTGAGCACATTTTATGTGTTTTTGGCCATTGTTGGACCAAAATTGTCAAAAGTGATCAGTACTGTACATGTACATACTGGAAACGAATGTGTCCTGAATTTTTTTAGTGCCTTTTAGAGAAAATAAAAAATTTGACAATTAAAGAGCATTTTTCATTTTATCAAACTCTCAGTAAGGTTCATATTTAATATATTTTACCATTACACATATGATATACACAATATTGCACATCGTATATGTACGGCAAATAAGTACACATATAATGTACACATAGAATTATGACCTGATAGGTTGAAAATTGCAATTTGAGATCATTAACAAAGGAAAGAGCCACAATTCAAAATAGTAAACTGAAAACAGTCTCTATGTGCTTGATGTTTATAGTGGACCTCCTGGAGTTTCAATAAGCCCCAGAGGTAATGGTGCCATGGGAGATGTAACTGGATTACAACCTGACAATACATATGTCTTCACCTTGGTAACCACAGACAACAATGACCTCAAGTCAAACGTGGCAACAACTGAAATAACATGTAAATATACTTTTTTAAGGTTAATTTTGTATAACACTTTTTAACATACTAGGAAAGCCAAGTTAAAATTAATTTAGTGATTTCTGTATGTATAATCCATTTTGATTCTTGTTTGGGTTAAATCTGGATGTGTCTCCTCGTGTGACATCTCTCAGTCCAGTATCTGCATAAAAATGAGAAAAATTCAAAATTCACATAGTATTTACATAAATATGACAATATTAATTTTCGAAATTAACCTCTGTATTGTAAGTTCCAAGACAGTCAGGGTGCCATGAAGAGTAGACCATTTTGAATTTCCAAGTCCAATGCTCTCTTACTGGGACATCATTATATCAATGGCTACAACAATTGGTGAAGAAATTCTAAAAATCTACAAAGTTTCTGTTAATGACCCCCTGTGAAATAAAGAGACAGGCATTACAAATATATCTGTTTGCAGTGATATCTCCTGTGGCTGATGCCCAGAGTGAGTATGCTGAAGGAGGAAAAGCAACACTAGATGCCACCAACAGTTTTGACACTGATAGTAACAAAGGAGAGTTGATGTTTGAATGGACGTAAGCATTTGTTTTTAAAGTCTATGTAAATATAAACTTTTGGTGAAAAATGCTGCTATCACCCTTTAAAAGTTGATGATAAGTTACACAAATGCTTAAGTTACCAAGATGTAAATATGTTCTAAAATCATTAATGTCAAGTATTGTGTAGGTACAGAATATCAGGAGGATTGAGGAATGATAAACTTGAAATTTTATTAAAATGATCTTTTACTTATACAATTTATTTAGAATATGAAAATTAGTTTGTTACTCTTAGCTTTTTGACTCAAGTTTTTGGTAGAGAACTTTTTGAATGTCATTTTTGTTTCTCTAACCATTGGAGTGGCACGCTGTAATAATTAAGCTATAATAATTCAAGTGTCAAGTCATGTTAATTTTTACGCTATCAAGCTTCTCTTATCAAACAGCTATTTGCCGTATGACTGTAGATGTTCTTGTTATAGGCAAGTGAGTGGACCAAGAGACGCCTTGATAAACCCAACTGGTAAGAGCAGTAGTCCCATCGCAGATGTCACTGGAATACAACCTGATGAAGAATACGTCTTCCAAGTGGAAGTTACAGATAAACATGGCCTTACATCTACGGACACAACTTCAGTTAAAGGTATGAACATTGAGATTTGTAATGAAAACTCAACTCAACAAATACTCAAAACTCAAAAAATTTCAATTCCAAGGTCCATATTAGATTGAACACTCAATTGCAGTTTTACCACTAAGAAGAGCATATCTGTTAAAGTATTGAATTTATGTGGTATATTTCTAGTATTCAAGCCTATGGCCATATCTGTTTAAGTATTGAATTTATGTGGTATATTTCTAGTATCAAAGCCTATGGCCATATCTGTTAAAGTATTGAATTTATGTGGTATATTTCTAGTATCCAAGCCTATGGCCATATCTGTTTAAGTATTGAATTTATGTGGTATATTTCTAGTATCCAAGCCTATGGCCATATCTGTTTAAGTATTGAATTTATGTGGTATATTTCTAGTATCCAGGCCTATGGCCATATCTGTTTAAGTATTGAATTTATGTGGAATATTTCTAGTATCCAAGCCTATGGCCATAGCAACAGGGGAGTATGATGATGGTGTTGGGAAGTTGAATGGGGAAGCAAGCTATGACGATGATAACAACATAATCAGATATAAATGGAGGTGAGTTGAAACAATAATTGGTAAAAATCTCTACATCTACATGCGTGTTATGTTGACTTAATATAGTTTAAAACTAAGGATATCTGGCAACCTATATCCTTTGTTTGTTATGTCACCACCACAAGTGGTGACACAATGTTGTAGACTCTATTTTTGTGGATGCTATTCACACAGTTTGTGTTCAATGGTTGGTGTTTGGTGGTTGGTGTTTTGCAGTTGTAGTCTGTAATAAAGGGAAGGTGGTGACATTTTGCATGCTATTGAATATTTCCCGATGTGAAAGAAATGATGATCCCCCAGGGATTATGGTCCCCTTTCTTAACGGCCCTTACTGGCCCTGGTTGCGTATAAGATTATGAGGGAAAGAGTTGTATTTAGGTCACCATATAAATCAATGGAGTGTAGGACCATGGTTTGATAGGACCTCCTACCCTTTTACACCGGCATGGACTATAACACAATAAACATGTATTTCCAGTTCACCAGAAGGCTATCAGATCACACAGTCAGACCCCAGTGATCCTAATGCTGTTGTTGACATCCCAGTGGCCTCTAAACGCATGTTTTACATGAGCGTTACAGATGATACTGGTCTTCAATCAGACACTGTTGAAGTTGAGCTTGCAGGTACAGAACACATATGAAATACATGTATATACTCAAGATACACTTCTTACCTTTAAATGATTGAACCGGGGATTGAACCACTTTTCAACTTGCAATCAAAGGTACCTGTAAATGCACCCATGCATGAACTCATGACAGTAAATCGATATAAAAATATAAATAAATACATGAATAAACATTTAATATTGATATGCTAAATTTCCAATATTATTTTGTTGTTCTTTTTTAGGCCCTCCATCTGCAATTATTGGAGTGGAGAAGGATCCAGACACTCCAAATAAGGTGACCCTTGATGGTACAGAAAGTAAGCTGCCTCCTGGCAACAACAATGCACAATACAAATGGGAGGTTGTATCGTAAGTTTATTTCAATAACATTACCTCAATTCAGAATGGTCAATATTCCCTAGTTATAATGATTTCCTCTTCAATTAGAATTACACATTACAATTTGAGTTACTATGATAACCAAGGCCACAAAATCAACATATCTGAGCCATAGTTTGATGATACTTAGTAGAATGCAGCATGCTTTTGGGCTATAGATACTAATCTAGTATGCACAATAATCAGTAATAAACAGTAATCTAGTATCAGAGTATGCACAAGTTTTACAGCAAAATAAGCTTCACTTCTTGAACTTGACTGTCAGGTAAAGAGGATTCCCAGACCAGAAATTTATGGACAGAAGCTCATGCATGGCTATCTAATAAGTTATGGTACCCTCTGTGTTCTAGATCTCCACCAGGTGCACCTAAAGGACAGTTTGACAATGCATTTTCTCCCAAGCCTGAGCTGTCTAACCTCGTTGAAGGCAACTATGTTGTACAGCTAACTGTCACTGACCCAGATACAGGCCTTACAGCAGTAGATACCACTGAAATTCGTGTAGCAAGTATGTACATGTATGCTAAATAGATATTTGCCACATCAGGTTTCAATATTGCTTGAACAACAATATGAACAATTCAATGCTCATCTGGGTCAATTAAGAAGAAAGATACATAAGAAACAAATATATTAGACAAAAGTAAGATAAAAATGAAAAATGTTGTGCTTGTATATTACCTGTATTCTGTATATTACCTCAGTTCTATGTATTACCTTTATTTTACATATTACCTGTATTTTGTATATTACCTCATTTCTCTGTATTACCTGTATTTTGTATATTACCTCATTTCTCTGTATTACCTGTATTTTGTATATTACCTCAGTTCCATGTATTACCTGTATTCTGTATCTTATCTGTATTTATACAAGTTGTATAACCAATACTCATGTGCTCATGTACTTGTAGAGACAACTGACCCTGTAGCTGTAGCAGAGGGGCAATACATAAAAGATGGTAAGGGTATGCTATCTGGAATAAAGAGCTATGATGAGGATAAAGATGGGCGAATAGTCAAGTATACATGGAGGTAAATTCTGCATTAAACCATGACCATTTGCATTGATTTAAATTGTTCAGTTATCTGTAATTAAGCCTTTCTAGTAACTAAAAATAATTCAATATTAAGAATTTTTCAGAATTATGCAGTAATAAAAATTATAACATACCTATGATGATGTATAGTGTAAAGTGTACACAAGACAGCGGGCCAATATAAGTTGTGAAAAGCCTGCGCCCGCTAACTTTCTGATTGGTCAAGGCGCTGACGTCATAACCAATCAATCGAAGATAAATCTGCGCGAGCAATTTTTCTTTTCTTATTTCAATCATTTTCAAACCATTTGTTTGTCAATTCTATAAAAAACGGTACTCTCTGACCAGTCCACATCATCATAGGTATGTTATAAATCGTTTATGTCACTATCGTGGCACATATGCCCTCGGTTCTCAGAGATCAATGTCCCTCCCAAGGTCGGGCCATATATCACTGAGACCTCGGGCATATATGCCACGATAGTGACATAACCTCTAACTATTTAGTTATCTGAGCTATTCAATAATCCAAACTAATCAGAAGTATTCAGTCATAAAAAGTATTGATCAACAATGAGAAATTAATCAGCAATAAAGAATTAACAATATTAGCAATAAAGAACTCAGAACTTTTCAGTAATAAGAAGTATCAATCAGCAATGAAAAATTGATCAACAATGAAAAATTAATCAGCAATGATAAAAGTTCAGTAGCCAGAACTTAGAACTTTTCAGTAATAAGAAGTATTAATCAGCAATGAAAACTATCCAGCATTTAGAACTTTACTAACCAGAAGTATTTAGTAAATAGAATCAGATCTTTTCAGTAATCAGAGGAATTTGTTTATCAAAACTATTAAGTAATCAGTGTCTTTTGACTTCCAGTGTGGCCTCTGGTGATGGCACAGAGGATGTAAGAGTTTTTGAGACAAAGGCACTTGGAGTGGCTGAAGTGTATGGTATCAAGCCTGCAACAACTGCTCAGTTCACCCTTGTGGTAGAAGACAACACTGGTGCCCTCTCACAAGAGGCTAAAACAGAGATTTCAGGTCAGTACATCAAACTAGTCACTCATAATTTCACTACAGCAATACCTATATATTCAAATACCTCTAATATTAACACAGCATACAAGCTTTTTCTGGTTCCACTATTTATTCGCCATGTTAAAAACTTTGAAATGTGAACACCTGCCACAAATGCCAGTTTGAATACTATTGGCCAGTCCAAGTGGTGATCGGATTAGACAAGTTATTTTCATTTTCATTTTATTAACTACAGTTTATAGCACATTACTAAGCTTACTAACCAGATACCCTTTGAGTTTGACCTATACTTAGAGCAATTCAATTTGATGTAAATGTTTTAATTGATACTCCTAGGTCCTCCTATAGCCAAGGCTGTACCATCATTTGAGACAAATGTTTTAATCAATACTTACAGGTCCTCCTATAGCCAAGGCTGTACCATCATTTGAGACAAATGTTTTAATCAATACTTACAGGTCCTCCTATAGCCAAGGCTGTACCATCATTTGAGACAAAAGTTTTAATCAATACTTGCAGGTCCTCCTATAGCCAAGGCTGTACCTTCATTTGAGACAAATGTTTTAATCAATACTTACAGGTCCTCCTATAGCCAAGGCTGTACCATCATTTGAGACAAATGTTTTAATCAATACTTACAGGTCCTCCTATAGCCAAGGCTGTACCTTCATTTGAGACAAATGTTTTAATCAATACTTACAAGTCCTCCTATAGCCAAGGCTGTACCTTCATTTGAGACAAATGTTTTAATCAATACTTACACGTCCTCCTATAGCCAAGACTGTACCATCATTTGAGACAAATGTTTTAATCAATACTTACAGGTCCTCCTATAGCCAAGGCTGTACCATCATTTGAGACAAAAGTTTTAATCAATACTTACAGGTCCTCCTATAGCCAAGGCTGTACCATCATTTGAGACAAAAGTTTTAATCAATACTTACAGGTCCTCCTATAGCCAAGGCTGTACCATCATTTGAGACAAATGTTTTAATCAATACTTACAGGTCCTCCTATAGCCAAGGCTGTACCTTCATTTGAGACAAATGTTTTAATCAATACTTACAGGTCCTCCTATAGCCAAGGCTGTACCATCATTTGAGACAAATGTTTTAATCAATACTTACAGGTGCTCCTATAGCCAAGGCTGTACCATCATTTGAGACAAATGTTTTAATCAAAACTCCTAGGTCCTCCTATAGCCAAGGCTGTACAATCATTTCAGACAAATGTTTTAATCAATACTTACAGGTCCTCCTATAGCCAAGGCTGTACCATCATTTGAGACAAATGTTTTAATCAATACTTACAGGTCCTCCTATAGCCAAGGCTGTACCTTCATTTGAGACAAATGTTTTAATCAATACTTACAGGTCCTCCTATAGCCAAGGCTGTACCATCATTTGAGACAAATGTTTTAATCAATACTTACAGGTCCTCCTATAGCCAAGGCTGTACCTTCATTTGAGACAAATGTTTTAATCAATACTTAAAGGTCCTCCTATAGCCAAGGCTGTACCTTCATTTGAGACAAATGTTTTAATCAATACTTACAGGTCCTCCTATAGCCAAGGCTGTACCATCATTTGAGACAAATGTTTTAATCAATACTTACAGGTCCTCCTATAGCCAAGGCTGTACCTTCATTTGAGACAAATGTTGTAATCAATACTTACAGGTCCTCCTATAGCCAAGGCTGTACCATCATTTGAGACAAATGTTTTAATCAATACTTACAGGTCCTCCTATAGCCAAGGCTGTACCATCATTTGAGACAAATGTTTTAATCAATACTCCTAGGTCCTCCTATAGCAAAGGCTGTACCATCATTTGAGACAAATGTTTTAATCAATACTTACAGGTCCTCCTATAGCCAAGGCTGTACCATCATTTGATACAAATGTATTAATCAATACTTACAGGTCCTACTATAGCCAAGGCTGTACCATCATTTTGAGACAAATGTTTTAATCAATACTTACAGGTCCTCCCATAGCCAAGGCTGTACCATCATTTTGAGACAAATGTTTTAATCAATACTTACAGGTCCTCCTATAGCCAAGGCTGTACCATCATTTGAGACAAATGTTTTAATCAATACTTACAGGTCCTCCTATAGCCAAGGCTGTACCATCATTTTGAGACAAATGTTTTAATTAATACTTACAGGTCCTCCTATAGCGAAGGCTGTACCATCATTTGAGACAAATGTTTTAATCAATACTTACAGGTCCTCCTATAGCCAAGGCTGTACCATCATTTGAGACAAATGTTTTAATCAATACTTACAGGTCCTCCTATAGCTAAGGCTGAACCATCATTTGAGACAAATGTTTTAATCAATACTTACAGGTCCTCCTATAGCCAAGGCTGTACCATCATTTTGAGACAAATGTTTTAATCAATACTTACAGGTCCTCCTATAGCCAAGGCTGCACCTTCATTTGAGACATATGTTTTAATCAATACTTACAGGTCCTCCTATAGCCAAGGCTGTACCATCATTTGAGACAAATGTTTTAATCAATACTTACAGGTCCTCCTATAGCCAAGGCTGTACCATCATTTGAGACAAAAGTTTTAATCAATACTTACAGGTCCTCCTATAGCCAAGGCTGTACCATCATTTGAGACAAAAGTTTTAATCAATACTTACAGGTCCTCCTATAGCCAAGGCTGTACCATCATTTGAGACAAATGTTTTAATCAATACTTACAGGTCCTCCTATAGCCAAGGCTGTACCTTCATTTGAGACAAATGTTTTAATCAATACTTACAGGTCCTCCTATAGCCAAGGCTGTACCATCATTTGAGACAAATGTTTTAATCAATACTTACAGGTGCTCCTATAGCCAAGGCTGTACCATCATTTGAGACAAATGTTTTAATCAAAACTCCTAGGTCCTCCTATAGCCAAGGCTGTACAATCATTTCAGACAAATGTTTTAATCAATACTTACAGGTCCTCCTATAGCCAAGGCTGTACCATCATTTGAGACAAATGTTTTAATCAATACTTACAGGTCCTCCTATAGCCAAGGCTGTACCTTCATTTGAGACAAATGTTTTAATCAATACTTACAGGTCCTCCTATAGCCAAGGCTGTACCATCATTTGAGACAAATGTTTTAATCAATACTTACAGGTCCTCCTATAGCCAAGGCTGTACCTTCATTTGAGACAAATGTTTTAATCAATACTTAAAGGTCCTCCTATAGCCAAGGCTGTACCTTCATTTGAGACAAATGTTTTAATCAATACTTACAGGTCCTCCTATAGCCAAGGCTGTACCATCATTTGAGACAAATGTTTTAATCAATACTTACAGGTCCTCCTATAGCCAAGGCTGTACCTTCATTTGAGACAAATGTTGTAATCAATACTTACAGGTCCTCCTATAGCCAAGGCTGTACCATCATTTGAGACAAATGTTTTAATCAATACTTACAGGTCCTCCTATAGCCAAGGCTGTACCATCATTTGAGACAAATGTTTTAATCAATACTCCTAGGTCCTCCTATAGCAAAGGCTGTACCATCATTTGAGACAAATGTTTTAATCAATACTTACAGGTCCTCCTATAGCCAAGGCTGTACCATCATTTGATACAAATGTATTAATCAATACTTACAGGTCCTACTATAGCCAAGGCTGAACCATCATTTTGAGACAAATGTTTTAATCAATACTTACAGGTCCTCCCATAGCCAAGGCTGTACCATCATTTTGAGACAAATGTTTTAATCAATACTTACAGGTCCTCCTATAGCCAAGGCTGTACCATCATTTGAGACAAATGTTTTAATCAATACTTACAGGTCCTCCTATAGCCAAGGCTGTACCATCATTTTGAGACAAATGTTTTAATTAATACTTACAGGTCCTCCTATAGCGAAGGCTGTACCATCATTTGAGACAAATGTTTTAATCAATACTTACAGGTCCTCCTATAGCCAAGGCTGTACCATCATTTGAGACAAATGTTTTAATCAATACTTACAGGTCCTCCTATAGCCAAGGCTGCACCTTCATTTGAGACAAATGTTTTAATCAATACTTACAGGTCCTCCTATAGCCAAGGCTGTACCATCATTTGAGACAAATGTTTTAATCAATACTTACAGGTCCTCCTATAGCCAAGGCTGTGCCATCATTTGAGACAGGAGTACCTGTGATAGATGCTTCCAACAGCCTGTTGCCACCTGGTCACACTGGCCTGTACAGGATTGAACAACTCGAGTAAATACTCAATTAATGTACAGTATCTTGCCAAATCAGTCTCATACCTGTCAGAACTTGTACTATAACAGTAACTTAAATAACTTAACAAGACTGCCAAAAACCAACCACCAAATTCTGAACATTGTCCACAAAAATGTTGGAGACTATAACATGTCACCACCTTCTGCTGGTGGTCAAGGAGGATTGACTTTTTGTATTGAAATAAGGCCAAAAGTTGTGATTTAAATTTTAGAGTGTACAAAATGTGGTTGCTTGAATTCAAATTTTGTAATCAGGACATCTCCATATATGGCAAAAAACGAGTTGGAAGCCTGGGATCCAATCCTCCTTGACTGTTGGTGACATACGCATAAAACAGTAAAAGGTGTTTCTATCCTTCTACGATCTATTTCATATATGACCTGCTTTCAGTGGACCCACTACTGCTAATATTGCTGATCCACAATCTCCAGTGACAGAAGTGGAAAATCTTGTGCCAGGGGTGTACTCTTTCCGAGTCACTGTTACTGATGAGCAAACTGGACTTGTAGACTGGACAACTGTACAGATTACTGTCTCTCGTAAGTATGTTTGGCTAGGTTAAATACCACCTTGAGCACAGAGTACCACAACGCACAACAAGATGTAACACTCACTATCTTCTAAAAGTCACATTGTAAAACAAGCACAAAAATAGTACATCTTTATTCTTTAGCCAGAGAGTAGTAAAACAATGGAATTGTATACCAGATTGGGTAGTTAACGCACCAAGTGTAAATCAGTGCAAAAATAGGTTGGACTCTTACTGTTGCAATCACCCAATACCCCATTTTATACACAATTGGTTAAATAGGCATATAAATATGCCTATAAACCGTTATACACTTTTAAAAACTTTATAAACAGGGTTTAGTTCTAAACTAATAAATTCTGAATAGATTGAACAATTTTACAGTTCAGGACACTCATTTCGTCTGCCAGTGTCCAGTGACCATCACATTTAAACATGTCATAAATCAATTCAAGTTCATCATGCTGCCATTTTCAGTTCAATAAAGAAGAATTGTTAAAGCTTTTCAAGAATAAAGATACCTCAATACCATATCATCTACATTCCTGTTTCTATTAGGTGATGGAGGTTGGAGTGAATGGGTCGTGGGAGACTGCTCTGTGACATGTGGAGGAGGTAGTAGAACAAACACTCGTCAATGCAACAACCCTCCACCAAGCAATGGAGGAAAACAATGTTCAGGCTTAACTATAGAAACTGAATCCTGTAATGCCCAAGCTTGCCCTGGTAAGTTGAGTAACTGTGTATTTATTTTGAAAGTTTTATTCAGACAATATGGTCATATTACACCGTTGCTAATTATGTAACTACATCTAATTTGAATATCCCAAGAACCAGTATTAAAATTAACACAGGTTCACAATTCAAGGTTTCTTACTATGTATGTCGCTGGGAGAATAACCAGCTTGAAATAATTTGAGTGTCAACATTATTGATTTACATTTATGCTAGTACACTTGCGACACTTGGAAAGTAACCATATTTAGATTAACGTTACATGTACATATTATGTAACATTCAATCCTTCATTGTATCATCATTGATTTGATGATATTACACTTAACATCTTTCAAATTATTAAAAATACTCGTAGTTAACTTTGCACAGTGTTTTAAATATGTTTTCTGTTTATCTCAGTTGATGGAGGTTGGAGTGAATGGGTTGTTGGAGATTGCCCTGTAACATGTGGTGGAGGTACTAGAACAAACACTCGTCAATGCAACAACCCTCCACCAATCAATGGGGGAAAACAGTGTGATGGCTTGAATAGAGAATCTGAAATCTGTAATACACAACTTTGCCCTGGTGAGTTGGGTTTTATATTTTGCAAATTACTGTCACCCGCAGCTTCTAGGTTGAATAAAATGAAGGATTCTGAAAACACAACAAATAAAAAAGCACAAAATAATTGTAATTTTCAGCCATACTGAATAAAATTAAACATCAGTTAAACCTGTGAGTATGAGCTCCTATCATCAGCTTCCAACTTGAATAGAATAAAAGATTCTGAAAATACAACAAGTACAAGTACTTTAAAGCCAGACTGAATAAAATCAAACTTCAGTAAAACCTATATATCTGAACACCTCTCCAAACTGAACATCTGATAATGTGAATGCTTTTTTGTCCCATTTTTGAATTTGCTAGAGATTTTCATGATCCCATTTTTGAATTTGCTTTAGATTTCCATGGTCCCATTTTTGAATATGCTATAGATTTCCATGGTCCCATTTTTGAATTTGCTATAGATTTCCATGGTCCCATTTTTGAATATGCTATAGATTTCCATGGTCCCATTTTTGAATATGCTATAGATTTCCATGGTCCCATTTTTGAATTTGCTATAGATTTCCATGGTCCCATTTTTGAATATGCTATAGCATGGTCCCATTTTTTAATATGCTATAGATTTCCATGTTTAAAAACTTTGTAAAGTGAACACTTGCCAATTGGAACATACAAACAGCTTAAGTTTACGAAGCTTTATGGCAGGGATATGAATTTGATATAATTCAAAATTTGAAATAATTTAAATGCAGGATAACATTTAATGCACATGTGGCTTTTGGTAAATGATAGCACATGTTCTGTTTATATTAGTTGATGGACGTTGGAGTGAATGGAATGTTGGAGATTGCTCTGTGTCATGTGGCGGAGGTAGTAGAACAAACACTCGTCAATGCAACAACCCTCCACCAAGCAACGGGGGAAAACAATGTGACGGCTCAACTACAGAAACTGAATCCTGTAATGCCCAAGCTTGCCCTGGTAAGATGAGTTATATATTTTTACAAATTAATCATTGTTTTTCTTTACTTACAGCAAAGGTATTTTTCATTTACTATTCATTTAGTAAATGGAATCTATTGTATATATGTACATGTGTGTCTGGGGATGAACCTGGGGTCAGCACATTTCTTGTAGATTGTAGGTACATATGTGGGATGTTACCTACAATAGGAAATGTGCTTACTTTAACGAATACACCAGGTTCAATCTTCAAGACTCTTATAGGTGTGGATGGTTAACCAATCAGCATCATGCCTCATGAGGATGTTGACCAATCAGCATTATGCCTCATAAGGATGTTGACCAATCAGCATCATGCCTCATAAAGATGTTAACCAATCAGCATCAATGTTTCAGAAGGATGTTGACCTTACTGGTCAAAATAGACAGACCAGTTCCCATCCTGAACAAATCAGCTGGCGTGGATAGAAACTAACCACATACTTAACTTTGTAGGACCTGAATCCTCCAATTGCAGGCTCCAGACATTGTCCACTCTGAACAAGGAAGGATGATGTCCAGAGCCCTGCATTTGGAGGATGAGAACCTGTTACCATCTAATCCTTTGACTTTATATGAATAATCCATTCTGTATCACTAGTTAATAAAGGTCAGTGAGTGGATGTATATCTACAATGGAATCATTCCAGGTATGTCTATAATACAGCCTACACAGTAACAATGTATGCATTAGCAATTTATAACTTGATTTGCAATGGTTTAAATGGAATTGTATATGTTCGATTTGTACAGTAACTTACATTTGTACATGTGATTAATTTGCATCTACATTTATAGTAATTATAGATGTCATGTGGCTGTCTTGTGGCATTTGTTCTTTCCTCATTGGCTTTGGAGTGGTCGATATGAATTGGCTTAGTATTAGATATATCAACTTAGATGACTATGGAAATGAAGAAAATAATGTGCCAGGAACTGAAAATGAATTTTGCTGTACTTTTGATATTTTGTATAATAAAAGTGGAAAATTATATTACTTTTATTATTGATTTTAATTGAAATTCACCCACATTATTTTCTTCATCTCACCATGTCATCATTTCACATTCAGTATTATCATCTCTCATGTAATCATTTCACATTCAGTAGTATCATCTCGCATGTCATCATTTCACATATCATCATCTCTTGTGTCATCATTTCACATATTGTCATCTCTCATGTCATCATTTCACAGTTGTCATTCATTTGTTATCACTTCACGCATTTGTTCTCTCCTCATTGCTTTTTGAATGGTCAATTTGAACGAGCTGATATTAAATATATTAACTTATCATTGACTATCATTAAATATCATTGGAAGAAAATAATGTGAACATGTCATTATATCATGTCATCATCTTTTCATTTGCCATCATCTCTTATGTCACCATTCCCCCATTATTTCACATGCTGCCATGGTTTCTCATTTCATCATTTTACATGTTAACATGCCTCATGTCATTATTTCACATGTCATCATGCCTCATGTCATTATTTCACATGTCATCATGCCTCATGTCTTTATTTCACATGTCATCATGCCTCATGTCATAATTTCACATTTCATCAAGTAAAATGAGGAAAAATTATGTTGGAGGAGTACAAAAGTTGTGTATTATGTCACCACCACAAGTGGTGACCTATTGTTATAGTCTCAAACGTTTTTATGGTGGTGGTTGGTGTTCGGCGGTTGGTGATCAGAGTTTGGCATCTGTAACAAATGGCATGTGGTGACATTTTGCATGTTTATGCCTTGTACTGTGTATAGAAGGAGGATGAGAAACACTAAACTGGTGAAGTCTTCATTACACACTATGTTGTTATAGAGATAAAACTTCATTGTGACTGGTCCAAAGTAGTGCAATAAAGTCATCCAAATTAGACTAGTCTTAAACACATCCATTTTCCTTAAAATCCTCTGCCTTTGGAGATATTTGATGATTTCTTTGTAGTTGTTTGCAATAGGAACGTAATTTAAGTTTGCACGGAGAAATATTTAGAATTCAGGTTTTACATTGTAATATAGCTGAAATTAAGGTTTTATCGCTCTATTTAACAAATTTTCTTTGCTATTTTGGATGAAATGGACTCCTGTTTATCTTGCTGTGGTCTTGCAGTAATCTTTTTAATAGTATGATGTCATTATTGTGCCCATAGTTGTGACACTGAAATCGTGTATAGAACTTTTTATTGCTTGGAATGTTTTGATGTGATCATTGGTGACTTTGTGTTCTTTTCTGAGCACATTGATTTCCTGACATAAACTGGAATAATCCAGTTTACCAAGATATTAAGAAGATGGTTGAATGCTGTTCTATGCAAAGGGAACTTCATAGAAACCCTTTATCAAATATGATATTAAAGCAGCTAGCAGTCAAACCACTCCCAACCATCAAAAAGATGTTCCTCAACTCTAACATAAAGGCAGAGTGCAGTGAAGAGGGGAAATAATCAAGGCCAGAATTCAAAGATGAATCTCCAGTATAGACAGGGTGGGACAAAAAATTGGAACATTTTTTCCATCTGTTGTAACTTTTTTGCTTGTCCGAATTATCTTCAATACTTTGGAAATTGAAAAAACAATTCGTCATTAACAGCTTGTGTAAAAATGAATACACAACCATAACATTTAAATATTCAAAGCAAGGGTTTCCTGAACATGTCCTCCACCCACCTGAATAATCAGTCTGGGTTGTATTTGACAGTCAAGTAACCAGGTAACATGACTCAAATAATGGTTTTGAGACATATTGTGTCAGTTTTGAAAGAAGCTTAGGTCTGTAAAGCTATATTATCCAAGGGAGACATGCCTTGCTTCTCCTATAGATAACTTCATATATTTTGAATGATGGAAATTGTGTTGAGACCATTTGAAGGATACGTATTGTATGGTATGAAAGATACTTTATTTTCAGCAGTGATGTCCCAAGCAGAGAAAATTTGGATATATCATGACACACGTCCACACACGTCCATGAACATGAGAAGCCAAAAATAATTATACATACATATTTTTATCTTTAACATTTTCACAAATAATCATTTTACCATTATCTGAATCTTTGTGAATTGAATTGCAATAATAAAAACAATTGAATAAATAGAAAAATGTTCCAATTTTTATTGGCCCACCCTGTATATATCCACATACTGTCAGTTATATAGGAAGATTTGCTATTCTGGTTGGATATGAATTCCATTGACTAATGGGCAATATAAATTGTATATATGGGAATATGACAGATTTCAAACTAGTGAATGATAATTCTAGGATATCCTTTGGTTTCTAGAAATATCAATATCATCTAGAAATATTAATATTGATATCTGAATGAGAGACCGAAGTGAACGAGTGCAGATATCAATATCACCAAGTAGATTAAAATGATATTCTGAAAAAACTGTAGGATGTTCTTATTATCCTTCAATTAGTGAACAAATGTAGAATATCATTAAAAAATAAAAAGTTGGAAATCAACAAGTGGAGCATATCGTTACAATATCCTACATATATTGATTTTCCAGAGTATATCATGGCGATATCCGCTGGATATTCATTTTGCCAATAGATATCAAATTTATTTTTTAATGTTCTTATTCATTTAGCACACTAAGTAAGTGTAGGATAATATAGGAATATCCTAAAAAATATCCTTTATATCCATGAGTGGAGGTTAAAGTTCTGCTCTCATTCTACTTCCAGTTAATGGTGGCTTCTCAGATTATGTATGTGGAGATTGTTCAGTGACATGTGGAGATGATGGCGTAGAGACTTGTACACGCTCATGCACCAACCCTAGCCCATTAAATGGTGGTCTGCAGTGTGTTGGAGAGACAACAAAGACGCAGCCTTGCACTGACTCACCACGCTGTAGATTGCGTATGTAGATTTGACCTTGAGTGCACTATATAGAATTAGTCTACATGTTACCAATTTTGCTTAATCGGCATATATCTTCATAATTTATCATTATTCCACAGAATTGTTTTCGTATTGCTGTTATTTGTTGTGCCAATTGATTTCAAATCCAAGGATACTAATTTATGATAATAGAATAACCCGGCCCTTTTGCACTCTAATAACGTACACCTCAACCCTAATGTACTATACTAAAACCCCTTTAAGCTAGGAATAAAGTATAAGTAATGGGTTTTAGGAGGAATAATTAGCCCTAATGTACTACAATAAAACCCCTTTAAACCCTAATGTAGCACACCTTAGCCCTAATGTACTACAATAAAACCCCTTTAAACCCTAATGTAGCACACCTTAGCCCTAATGTACTACAATAAAACCCCTTTAAACCCTAATGTAGCACACCTTAGCCCTAATGTACTACAATAAAACCCCTTTAAACCCTAATGTAGCACACCTTAGCCCTAATGTACTACAATAAAACCCCTTTAAACCCTAATGTAGCACACCTTAGCCCTAATGTACTACAATAAAACCCCTTTAAACCCTAATAAAGCACACCTTAGCCCTAATGTACTACAATGAACCCCCTCCAAAGCCTAATGTAGCACACCTTAACCCCTGATATACTACAATAAAACCCCTTTAAACCCTAATAAAGCACACCTTAGCCCTAATGTACTGCAATAAAACCCCTTTAAACCCTAATGAAGCACACCTTAGTCCCCTGTAAAACTCTGACCACATAACACTTTACAGGTCCTACCGGTGGAACTTTAGATGAGGGAGGTTTTGGTGTTGCCGGGATTACAACTGTGCAAGCGGTTGCTACTACTACAACAGAGTCTACTACTCTCCCAACAGAAGCTACTGCTCCCCCAACAGAGGCTACTCCTACCCAGACAGTGGCTACAACAGAGGCACCAGTAGTTATAACATTACCTGTTTTTAATGAGACAGCTCTTCCACCATTTTCTAACTGTCAGTGCCCAGAAGGCTGGCTTAGTCATGGCTGTACAGAAGATGATCCCACAAGAGGATGTGCAAAATGGTATACCATCAAACCCTGAAATATACATATGGATGGATTACACTCCCCTTCATAAATTTGGCAATTTTACTCATCGAAACATGTTTATTTTTCGGGATTTAAAATATCAATTATAAGTCATTAACTTTTGAACTACTTGCAAAAATAAGATTCAAAGATTGAGAGGCTTTGATATTCTATCTAGTGAAAAATTTCAGTTGCCAAACTATTTGAGGAGAGTGTATTTTTATTCTATGAGCTGAATCTACTACAGATATACTGACTCTATTTTTCAAAAAAAATCGCTTCATGTTAAGCTTACTTGTGGAAGAAACCACATTTTAGTCTGAAAAGATAAGCTTCATAAAAATAAATTTATGCTTGGTTAGATATTTGGAATTAGAATTTTTATGTAACATTATCAATCTGTGATAATGAAATGCACTAGTGGATAATAATATGGCAACATTACGACTGGTATATTGAAGCAAGACTGTTCATTTTTTTGAATACCTTTTGCAAAATTTTCTAAAAGATAATTAGAGATAAAGTTGTTAATTGAAAATAGTTTAAATGTATTATTAATGAAGAGGTCCATGTTTTAATAAGTTGCATCTTATCCTGGCCAATCTTCCCCAAGATCTTAATATGCTCATACAACAGGTTTGACTGCAGGTATTTAAAATTTAGGTATTTAAATGAAAAACATGTAACATCCTATGTTGCAATAAAATATTTTTTTAATAAATAAAAAATGTAGCAGGACATACCATGTGATGCCAAATAAAGTAATAATTCCAAACCTGCGGGAATGTAGACTTTTGATATAGTAAAGTATGGCTGCCCTTTGTATTGTTATTAGGTATTTCGATCAAGTGACGTGGGAGACAGCTGAGGCACAGTGTGTTGAAGATGGGGGGCATCTATTGTGGAACACTGAGGATGAGGCTGAATGTTTGGAGGACTTCTTAGAGGCTTGTATAGATGAAGAAGGTTAGTTAATTATTGTGATACTAAAGCCTGTACAGTGTATTCGTCTTAATTTGGTGCTACTTAATTTGGCGATTTTGGGAGATTGGACATATTGACGTTTATTTAATTTGGCGGTTTTTCAATGGGGGGAAATTTAATATCTATCTTACACCCTCCCGCCTAATCCACCTCAAATTTGTGAACACCTGCTAATCGGAACACTTTTGGCCTGTCCCAATTGTGTTCACATTAAACAGTTAGGTGTTTTACTTTATATTTATGAAGCAAACCTTGTTTAGCCCTTCATTTTCATAGCCATCTCAATATTTTTAAATCAGATTTGCAGGTATATCATTAGAAGAGCTTCATTTCAAGTTTTCACCAGTGCTTTTTGCACTTCTAAACCATGGTTAATTTTTAAGCATTCTGTGTTTACACTGAATTGCCACATGTTCTGATTTTTTATAATAAGAAAAAATAATGTCTGTTGACTATATTCTATGCTATACTTTTTAAATATTTGAAGTCAATTTATTGTGAAGAATTTACTATTATTATTGTTTAATTATTGCATCTAGATTTGAAAGGAGCTGATTGGTGGACATGTGGAACAACGCCATCTGGTGAAGAGATTGATACAATCTGGTCATGTGATGGAGGTACGTTTATTTTCCAGTATCTCCAAAATCTGACATATTGGAAAGCAGGCCCATAGCCAGCTTTTTCCAAGAAGGGTTCAGTTTTTAAAAAATTCTTGGGGTTGCTATAATTATGGGTTAGCTTCGGAGGTATTTAATCAGTAGGCAACAAATGCACAATATGATGGGGATGGATAGGTGATAAAACATTAAAATATGCTACAAGTAAGCCGTTTTTGTGATAGAAAAACATTAGTTTTATGAATATCTTACAACTGATATCTATTCCCCACTCATAGTTACAGTGTGTGGCTTAGTCTATTCACTCATCAGATGTACTGCTCATATATTTCAATTGTCAGGAAATACTTCCGATAAAGAAAGGTTTCATCCAGCAACGCTTTGAAAAGTGGGTCAGCATCCAGTTATATTTCATAATTATTCAATGATTATCAGTTATCATATTTCCAAATTCATTAATTACAATATGGTAAAAATAAAATGATATCCCCTAATAATACAAAATAAAAGTAAAGCACTCCAAAATATTGCCATATTTCTGTCATTAATTGCAATCTATAATGAGGCCCAACATGATTAAGTATATGGTCCGAAAAAACGTACTGAACTGAGACGTAAGAACCTAGAATTGTACCAAACTGTACCGACCCTACTATAGTAGTAATTATCAACATAAATATATCGGTGTGACATGCCTCTCTTGGATGTTATGGGTAATCTTTGACTTGAGATAGCAGAATACTATTTCATTGAAAGAATTTGTAAGAATACTGTATGTTTGGCTGATGAGTTCCAGTTGCACATGCCAGTACATTTGCTTTGTATAATTGCAGGTGTAAAACGTAGCAAAAGACATAGTCATTCTGGCCAGAGGACAGAATATAGTGGTCATTCTGGCCAAAAGACAAAGTATGGCGGCTATTCCGGCCAGAGGACAAGATACAGCGGCCATTCTGGCCAAAAGACAAAGTATGGCAGCTATTCCGGCCAGAGGACAGGATACGGTGGTCATTCTGGCCAGACAACAAGATACAACAGCCATTCTGACCAGAAAACAAAATACAGTGGCCTGTCTGGCCAGAAGACCAAATACAGCAGCTATTCTGACCAGAAGACGAGATATGGTGGCTATTCTGGCCAGAAGACTAGATATGGTGGCCATTCTGGACAAAAGACAAGATATGGTGGCCATTCTGGACAAAAGACAAGATATGGTGGCCATTCTGGACAAAAGACAAGGTACAGTGGCCTTTCTGACCAGAAAACAAAATACAGCAGCCTATATGACCAGAAGACAAGATATGGTGGCCATTCTGGCCAGAAAACCAAATACAGTGGCCTATCTGACCAAACGACGAGGTACAGTGGCCATTCTGGCCAAAAGACGAGATACAGTGGCATATCTGGCCAGAGGACCAAATACAATGGCATTTATGGAAGCAAAACAAATTACAAAACGGGTGGTAAAGGTGGCAGTAGCAGTGATAGCAGCCATTCTGGCCAAAAGACAAGATACAGTGGCATATCTGGCCAGAGGACCAAATACAGTGGCGTTTATGGAAGCAAACCATATTACAAAACGGGTGGTAAAGGTGGCAGTAGCAGTGATAGCAGCCATTCTGGCCAAAAGACAAGATACAGTGGCATATCTGGCCAGAGGACCAAATACAGTGGCGTTTATGGAAGCAAACCATATTACAAAACAGGTGGTAAAGGTGGCAGTAGCAGTGATAGCAGCAAAAGCAGTCATGGAAGCCACAGCAAGCATAGTAGCCACAGCAAACATAGTAGCCACAAGAAGCATAGTGGCCACAGCAGTAGCCACAGCAGTAGCCACAGCAAACATAGTAGCCACAAGAAGCATAGTAGCCACAGCAGTAGCCACAGCAGTCATGGCAGTAGCTCATCATCTGGCTCACATGAGCGACAACGTGTTTCAAAGATCAAGTACACAGGACAAACAAGACCAAGACCAACCATAAGAGTAACTGCGCAGACCACAACACCAGCTCCTTCCCCTAAGTGCATCACATACCGGTTCTCTAAGAATAACATACCCCAGCTTAGACCTATAGCTCGGAATTGTGCTTCTAGGCAAAACTTTATATGTATGAAACCTTGCCTGGCCCGACCACCAGCCATTCCAACAAGTACACTTCCTCCCAGGCTTAACTTTGGTTAGTCATGTAATGATGCATGGCGACACTGAGATGTTTGTTTTTCGGATGGGCTGATGATGGTTCAATATTCGACTAGACTTGGCTTCCTTATATTAATTCTAAATGAGTAATACAATTTTATATATATAGAGACTAATAAATACCCAAGTGAAAAAAGTCAATGGGAAAATATTGACAATAAATAGGTAATACTCTATTAATTCTTAGCTAACAAATACCTGAAAAATTTATCATGCAAATTAGAGAGAATTACGTTAATAAATAGGTGTTAATAATAAGGTATTGTTAACATTCAACGCTCATGTAGAATATTGACTGATTATTAAATGAAAATTACATTGTAATAATTAGGTAAAATTAGAAATCTAATAATCATGTATTGATTATCTTCCAATAATAAGCTATATGTTAACAGAATATTACCTAAATATTGTACATATTTATTGTGGTAATATTCTCTAATTTGCATGATAAATTTTTTAGGTATTCGTTAGCTAAGAATTAACAGAGTATTACCTATTTATTATTTGTTGCATTACTCTTACCCAAGATGCATTATGGTCTACAAAATTTATTTTCTACTATAAGAACCAAAAACATTAAATAATATGTAAAATTAGATGGGTAGGGACACACAAATTCGAAGTAAATGTGTGACGTATATGTAATTTGCGTGAATATTCAAATCTGGCCATGCAAAGCGTATAAATTAATTCATGGCAAAGTCCAAAGTTTTTCAAAATTTCTTGCAAAAACTATACAGATTTTGTCAAAAATCTCCCACAAAAGTACCACTTTTTGCAGAATTTACCGCAAAAACTATTGCTTTTATTAGAAAAAAACTGGAGATAATCCGCTTTTTTAAAAAAGTACCATTTTTTTCAAATCTACCGTAAAACTCCAGTTGTTTCAAAATTCACCTAAAAAACTCCTGATTTTTAAAAATCTACGGCGAAAACTACAAATTTTTTTAAAACTACCAGATTTTGGAAAAATCTCCTGTAAAAGTACCACAATTTTTGGAAATCTCACGCAAATTTTTCATTTTAGGTTGGCCCTGGGTATGTAAGATGATATAAGCAATTATTATGGGACATCACTGATAATTTTACCCATTCAGAATTGTCCTGAAGGCCAGAAGGCTCACAGTTATTGAAGAACCCTCTAGGCTAGGCCTCCAGCAGTATTTATCTTCATAATCTTTATAAAATACCTTATAATTTTTACTGCATGGTACAATTGGTCATACACAACACATTTATGCTTGACCAGTTTGACTGTATGATGAATTAAAATTTAGCCTTCATAAATTCACAAAGAAAAGAAGATTTGCCCATCTAAACTGGAATAAAACAGCAATACTTACATTTTACCTCTCACAAAGTAGACATGCAGAATGTTCAAGTATGTCAGTAACTTCTGAATCTATATTTGATTGGTCATTTTCATACTATTGTTATAAAATCATAAAATTACCCAAATCTCTTACAGTTGAACATTCTTTGTCAGCCATTTTTCTTTTGGTTTAAAAAGAGCGGGAAAGTTAATATTTTGCTAATACTCACTGCCACATTTCTTATAAGTCCAATCTTAACAATTAGCTAATTTTTATCACCTAGGGTAGCAAGGATGACAAAAAGTTACCCAATTATTCAAAGAGCATTATAACATAGTTGTTAGAATAATAAATAGGTGTAATAAATAGCTATTTATTGGCATTCAACTTTCATTGATTTAATGCTCATTTAACAAATAGGTTAACTTTTATCAAAATGCATAATTATTAGACCAAAGTTAACCAATTATTACATGAGAATTGCCATGTCTTTTTACTTGGGTACTTGATAATATGAGGTATACAAAAAGTAATTTATTGAATCGTTATCTCTGTCTGAAAAACAAATCCTTACAAAGACAATAAATTATGAATGGATGACAGACCACCGCAGCTTAACATGGACTCTGAATGAGGCACCAAGATATTATGAAGAGGTTAAAGAGAGATTCAAAGTTGTTATCATCATCAAATCTTTACTTTTTTTATTCTGTACATGTATAACAATATAAGGGAGTAGTTACATAATATAATTATTCAAATTCTAATGGTTTAATTAAAAAGTTGTTATTTTAATAATTTATTTATTTTTGTTACTTTTGTTTGCATTTTAACTGTCGCATTATTTTAATTTCAAAACCGTGGACAAATTAATCACATTTGAGAATATAATGTAGTTTGAGACTGTTTCAGGATAGATGAAGTTCTTGAATCCAACTCTTGTATTGCAGCAATGTTCTTTGATAATAACAACCATATGTATATATGTAACTAGAAACTAAATGTCCAAATAAACCGAGTCATCTCTTAACCTCTGATTAATGCTTTAGTTTAGTGTAGAGAATTATATTTCAGTTAACTTGTAATTATATCCAGAATAAATGTTTATGTTATTTTATAGATCTGCAACGAAATAAAAGTTGTGTTTCAGTTGATATTGAGGAAGTGTGTGTATACTGTAAATTGCTTTAATTTGATGGTTGTTTTAATTTGGCGGATTGATCAAAATTAAGTCTCATGTCATTTTTGGAAAAATCCCCTGGACTTTAAGTCTCATTGAGAATTATTGCAACATCTTTATTGTAACCCCATAATTACATTGTAGTTTATATATGAAGGTAAAACCTCTGTGTCACTCAAAAGCCTGGTTGTGTGACTTCCTAGCTGGCCCTCTAATATCCATATTTTACTGATCCAACAAATTAAATAGCACCCAAAAATTCAAAATGTGCCCAATCTGCCAATTAAACAGCACCAAAAAGCAATTTATAGTATGGTTAAATTATGACATTTTGACTTGTACCACATCACCACTGTCCATTTGGACCTTCCTTCCTTGAATACATCTATGTATAAAACTCTTCTGTTGTGAATGTACTATTATCACTGCCAAATGAGAAACAATAGAGTTCTACAGCACATAGCATTCAAACTAAAATTGCTTTCACTTCTCCAAAAAAATGGCAGTGTACGGGAAAGTTTCGATTTTTATAGGAAAAACACCACAAGGGATGACATATTGTTATAGTCTCCACCTTTTTGGTGGACGATGGTATGTAACAAATGACAGGTGGTGACATTTGCATATTAAGGCCTTGTAATGTATGTGATACACACTGAGCAAATAAAATTGTGAATGCAGATGAACACATGTATTCTAGTGGTTGAATGGTAATAGAGTGATGTTCATTTGATTGAAGCAATTATATTTGAGTCCCACAGAATGCAAGTCCACATTATAAATCCAATGAATAGCAACATGCAGATGTAAATGGCCGTTGTCAGAGTGAGAGTATATAGATTGGCATTTTGGTGTGACAGCATAGAAGCTATGTGTTACTGATGGGGGGACTAAATGTGTAAAACGTTATCTGCCAGTGTATGTGAAATCTTCTCAGAGTACAGTAATAACAAGGAGATAACATACATATGTCCCCAACTGCCATTTGTTACAAACGCTGACCACCAGACACCATCACAAAAAAGTTGGGAGACCATATCTTAAAATTAACTCTTCAACCTATGAATATAGATAAATGTTTCTCAGACCTAGGCCCCATCAAATATTGTGTGCATATCAGTATATAGCATACTCTCAATTTTTATGTGACTTTTGCCATCAAATTATCCAATTTCTTGAAAACTAAGAGGAATGGTATTTTAAAAACTGTCAACACTATCAGAATTTGAATATTTCTAATTTGACACTCGGGGAAAATATAGGCTAGTTGTTTTGTGGATATTGGGCAGTTGGCTGCAATTTCAAAAAAAGATGTCACTGTTAAAATATTGAAGGATTTAAGCCCTGGACTCAGTGCATTGTGTGCTGAATCATTCCATTGAAGGTGTTGTTTCCAAAACTACCCTTAAGAAAAAAACCATGGTATTCCATGGTGCGCCCATGGTTTTCCATGGAAATTCATGGTTTTCCATGTTATTTTCCATGGAAATTCATGGACGCCCATGGTAATCTTCCATGGATATTTACCATGATTTTCCGTGGTAATTGTTGGTTTGGTAATTGGTTTTTAATGGATGTGTCATGGAGATGTAAAATTAACAATTTTGGTAGGATTTGTATTTACCAAAATCTCCAAAATGAATGTTTTGATATATCCCAGTTAGACTGAGACTTATCATTGAGAAAAAAGGGTGGACATTTCATTTTGAAGGTATAGCAAGAACATTCATCGAATGTTAGACTCAGCTTACAAATGAGAAAATATGTGAAACAGCAGAGCAGAGAGTAGGCCACAAGATTTCAAAAACAATTGTGCAAAGGTCTTTTGTGTAGATCAAGACTAGATAGAGATTGCTTATTTTTTAGGCCAAACACTTCTTTCCTTTGAAAAAGATTAAGTCAAACTAGACCAAGCTCTGTTTTATTTCAATACTTTCTTTAATTTTCAGTTTTAAAAATCAATATGAAGTAATTTAAGAAGTAAATAACTCATTTTCTTAAATTACATTTCGTACATTTGAGAATACAATCAAAAACCATGGTTTCTTTCTTTGAAGTTGAGAAAACTGCAATCAAAAGCCATGGAAGACGGTTGATTGCAATCGAAAGCCATGCTTTTCCATGGTTATTTCTTTGATGTTTTGGAAAGTGCAATCAAAAGCCATGGTTTTCCATGATTATTCTTTTGATCTTTTGAAAGTCCATGGTTTTCCATGGGCTATTTGTTTGGTCTTTTGGAAGCAGAAAAATGAATAATACATTATGTTTCTAAATTAAGTCCCATTCAACTTTTATAAGCATATTATCTGAAAAAATACTCAGAAAAGTATATACTTTTACAGAATTTTGACTTGAAATTGAGATGGGGGATTAAACACAAGCCTATGGCTGCAAACTGAAATGTTATACCTAAGTGATAAAAATTCAATTTGTCTATGTAAGAATATTTTATTTAAAAAGAAGTTGCATGAAGGAAGGGGAGGGGGTTAACAACACCATTTGGCTTAAAACATGAAACATAGTATAAGTAATTAAAATTGATTTGTCTTTGAATAGGAATAAATCATCATTTGCATAATTTTTAAATATTTGGTTGCCATTATTCTATGTTAATTAGGTGTCTTAACTCTCAAATTAATGTCAAAAGATTAATCTCTTTACAACAGATTATAAGAGTTCATTTGCATAATTCTTAAATATTCTGATCTTAATTGTTATTATATATGATAATCTTACTCTTTCTAATGCTCCCTCTTCAGTAATTATTATTGTCTGTGAGTGTAGACAGTGCAAGTCAAAAACTCATTGTTGATCAAATAAAACCAAATAGGATTTACTCCAAGTAAAAATGTTTATTCAGTCTGCAATAAGGGAATCCAGTGAGCTGATTTTATCACTTATTTTGTCTTTTTTTTACATAAGTGCCAAAGTGAAATGATAGCAAAATCCAGCAAACAAATTATTACTTTTAATTGTGGGGTCAAATCATCAATTAAAAAAATATTAAGTAAACAGTTCTTTGTCATATGTTCTATGTACAGAATGTACTAAACATATATTTAGATTGTAAAAACATGGTTGTATTTCAGGCCTGAAACCAGCTTTTGTCAAGAAGGTTGACTTTCTCAAAGATTTTGGGGTGGGGGGGGGGGTGTCATATTCTTTTATCTATGATTAATGAGACTAATTCTCAATCCAGCTTGGATTCATTCGTTAAAATATTGATTCAATTTTGAAGATTTTGGTAAAAACAAAACCTGCCAAAATTGTTGATTTTACAACTCAAGTGTCATGGTAAAAACATGGCATGTTCATGAAAAAACAATTACCAAACCACCAATTACCACGGAAAATCATGGTAAATATCCATGGAAGATTACCATGGATATCCATGAATTTCCATGGAAAATACCATGAAAAACCATGAATTTCCATGGAAAACCATGGATTACCATGGACGCACCATGGAATACCATGGTTACCATGGCTTTTTTCTTAAGGGTATGCATGACCACACAGTGTGGAATGAAGCCACATTGCATTGAGTCTTGGGCTTAATTCTTTTCACACATTGCAAATGTTTTCTACGTAATTACCTTGTCACCTAAACTATTGTTTAACAAGTGACCTTGAATGCGTTGATGGTGATATAATGTACTGCGGGTATCTGAAATACTGTGTTTGGATTGGCTAGAATCAAACACCTTGCCTAGCTGTGTGAATTCATTATTACGGAGGGATTTTGAAATGCTGCACTGTTTCACTTATGCTTTATACATAGAGGATCTGTAGACATTATATTTAAGTAACACAACTACATACAACTACAAGCAGAATTTAAGATGTTCTAACCAATATGTCCTTTTCTATGACACAAAAAGTTACTGGAAAAGTTACTCCCTAGATATTTTCCTGGCTTTAAGGATGTACTATTGCACAATCAATATTGATTAGTAAATGAACTAGTAGGATGGATGGTGTCACTAATAAAAATGCATACTGACATGATTTGGATAACATTGAAAGAAAGGATAACAAAATAAATTACCAACACATGTTTAAACTTTCCGAAACCCACTCTTTATTACAAATACTGTAATAATTTCTAGTAATTGCATTACAAAGACATTATTAATAACTAGAAAATAATCAACTCCAGGGAGAAGTGAATCCCACCAAACGACATACTTTATTTAGAAATAAGAGTAGGCATTTTGTTAAAGAACAGTTGCTTAAAAAAGCTCAATTTTAAGCTGACACGTGGACTGACTACATACTCATATTTCCCCAAAAAATATTTCAAAATAAGTATAAATTCAGAAAACAGTAGGCCTATACTATATACAAGTCAAGCAAAAATGTCAGATTATTATTTGAATAAGACCAAAATTGTTAACCAAAAATGTATCTTTTTGGAAAGTGGAGGCCATTTTGAATTGAGCGACCATATGGTAATGCATCATATTTTAAAAATACATCAAACATTTAGGCCTAGTTAAAGCAAAAATGGCAATTATTTTGGTAATTTCCTCAAAGATTGTAAACTTGTCATTGGTTGTAAACTTCATTTTTTTATAAATATGATTCAAGTTGGAAAATTGCATGGCCATATTCAGAAATGCCGAGATGAACAAGAGGCTTTTATTTCCATGAGGTATCAGCCAATGAAATAAAGCAAATCTGACAGCCAGTATTTGAGTTATCACCCACTATACAAATAAATGGATGGCTTCTCTATCCCTACTCAAACTTCGTCAAGTGGGATAATCAATTGCACTACAGAATATTATTACACATATTTTTTAATGATGTTTACTTAACACCAACAGTTGCACTACTGATTATGCATTATGATTTTGCAATCATAAGATACATCCAATATGACTGCAAAAGCATTTGGAAATTCATAATACTTTACAAAATCTCAAGTTACTGTAATATTGCTAAACTTTAAACTTAAAGTTCTGTTAGTTGGAAAAACTGATGCAATTACTGCATACTAAGAATCTGTAGGAAAAAATCGATACAAGAAATTTGAATGGCAAAAAAAGTGATTACTAAACAATGAAAGTGACAACCATTTTATTAACCATTTTTATTAAAAATGTATGCTTCCAAATGTCTGCTTGGTTAAATAGAGTAGAAGTTAATAGAGAGATTTAGTACATACATAAAAGCACAACGTTTTATAAGTGATGGCTCCATATAAATGGATAGAGCTGCGCAACAAATGATGACATAGTACACACCCGTTATAAGTTATAAACGTACAGGATTTATAAACATGCTTATAAGTGCGAAATCTCTCTAATGAAAAGGCTTATGACACTGATGTGATGATGATGATGCAAAACTATCAGAAGAGACCCTTAATGGCCTAGTCACATAGCCCGGCCGATGAGGTTACGATGAGCCAGAAAAAAACTACCATTTTGAGACAGACTCCGTACAGTCACCGGCCGGTGTTCGGTCGGTCGCCTGAAGATGTCCGGATGGAGTCCGTTCACGTCACCGAGCTCTGCTTCCGATGAGGAGAGCTGGGTGGCACCAAAAAAATCCACCGAGCTCTACCGATGCCGGACATCGGCCGGGCTTTGTGACTAGGCCATTAGCCATAATTTTCTACAATAATAGTTCAGTTCAATATAAAATGTTTAAATATCTATAAACGGTAGAAAAATGAACAAATACAAATGAAGATTCGTAAATTCATCATTGCCACTGCTCCCTTATTCATTTCAATAAGTTGAGAATGATAGTACATGTGAATAATAAATATGTCACAATTTGTTGATCATACTTATTACTATATAAAAGCTTCCAAGTCAAATCATGTTATCACTTTGCAATTTACATCCATACAAATAAAATTATTGTCATGCTGGATATTGAGAAATGGAGTTGTATATAGCAAGAATACGATCTGACATAGATCTTTGTGTTAATAAAAGGATTAATTAACTGTTTTAGAAGAGAATTTATGCAATTTTTCTTCAAGAAATAAAAGGGATCAAAATACTTTTTTCTTGGAATTGATTTTCTCAATTAATTTCAGCTCAATATATTTCCTAATTGTGTCTAATCTTGCACTTGCACCAATATCAAACAAGGCATTAACATGACAAAATGTCACCACCTAAAACAATTTGGTCAATTTAAAGCAAGTTGGAAAATACCTTTTGACCTTGAGAAGGTCATTGAAGGTCAAAGGTCAAATCTAAAGTCAGATTTGAACTTCTGAGAACTTGTAAAGTCAAATTTGAACTTCTGAAAAGATGTAGATGATTTTGAAAAAAAAATTTGGTCAATTTGAAGCAAGTTGAAAATAGACCTTTTTGACCTTGAGAAGGTCATTGAAGGTCAAATGTCAAATCTGAAGTCAGATTTGAATTTCTGAGAACATGAAGATGATTTTGAAAAAAAAATTAGTCAATTTGAAGCAAGTTGAAAAAGACCTTTTTGACCTTTTTTGACCTTGAGAAGGTCATTGAAGGTCAAATGTCAAATCTAAAGTCAGATTTGAATTTCTGAGAACATGTAGATGATTTTGAAAAAAAAATTTAGTCAATTTGAAGCAAGATGAAAAAAGACCTTTTTGACCTTTTTTGACATTGAGAAGGTCATTGAAGGTCAAATGTCAAATCTAAAGTCAGATTTGAATTTCTGAGAACATGTAGATGATTTTGAAAAATAAATTTAGTCAATTTGAAGCAAGTTGAAAAAAGACCTTTTTGACCTTTTTTGACTTTGAGAAGGTCATTGAAGGTCAAATGTCAAATCTAAAGTCAGATTTGAATTTCTGAGAACATGTAGATGATTTTGAAAAAAAAAATTTAGTCAATTTGAAGCAAGTTGAAAAAAGACCTTTTTGACCTTTTTTGACTTTGAGAAGGTCATTGAAGGTCAAATGTCAAATCTAAAGTCAGATTTGAATTTCTGAGAACATGTAGATGATTTTGAAAAAAAAATTTAGTCAATTTGAAGCAAGTTGAAAAAAGACCTTTTTGACCTTTTTTGACTTTGAAAAGGTCATTGAAGGTCAAATGTCAAATCTTAAGTCAAATCTAAAGTCAGATTTGAATTTCTGAGAACACTTAGATGATTTTGAAAATTTTTTTTAGTCAATTTGAAGCAAGTTGAAAACAGACCTTTTTGACCTTTTTTTGACCTTGAGAAGGTCAAATGTCAAATCTTAAGTCAGATTTGAATTTCTGAGAACACGTAGATGATTTTGAAAAAAAAATTTAGTCAATTTGAAGCAAGTTGAAAACAGACCTTTTTGACCTTTTTTGACCTTGAGAAGGTCATTGAAGGTCAAATGTCAAATCTAAAGTCAGGTCAAATGTCAAATCTAAAGTCAAATCTAAAGTCAGATTTGAATTTCTGAGAACATGTAGATGATTTTGAAAAAAAATTTAGTCAATGTGAAGCAAGTTGAAAAAAGACCTTTTTGACCTTGAGAAGGTCATTGAAGGTCAAATGTCAAATCTAAAGTCAGATTTGAACTTCTGAGAACATGTAGATGCTTTAGAAAAAATTGAAGTCAGTCTAAACAGTATTTGTTAAGTTATAGGAAGTTGTAAGAAATTGTTACAGACGCCGGACGCCAACCTCCAACCACCAACCGCCAACCACCAACCGCCGTCGCAAAAAAAAAACGGAGACCATAACAATATGTCACCACTTTTGGTGGTGACATAATTATATACCATGTTTGTTTCTATCATACTTATTCTCACTATGACCTCAGCAAACTCATTTAGAGTTTCAAGGTTTTCATTTACCCCTGCAGTGCCTCATATACTCTTGCAAGGCCAAATAAACTCTTACTAGGCCTCAAATACTCTTATAAGGCCTTATAAAACCTTACAGGCCTCGTATATTCTTATGGGGCCTCATATACTATTATAAGGCCTTGTAAACTCTTAAGGGTCCTCACCAACCCTCATATACTCTAAGTAGGCCTTATTTACTTTTAAGAGTTCACAGTTCACACTATAAGTCAACAGTTTTCATTCCCAGTAGGCCAATAATGGGTTGTTTTTGTTTCTGCTCCTTGGCAAGTTTATCCTGAAATATATAAAAGTTGAGTTAGGTCAGGTTAGTATTAAGGTTGATAGGGTGAAAAGAATATTCTAAACATTATAACTTAATCAGATCTTGGCAGTGAAGGCTGTAAAAATGTGAAGTAAAGCTAATGAATGTTTTCTTGCCCACTTTATGACAAGATTATTTACTTGTTCATCTTCTGGCATTGTGAAGTGTACTGAGTGATTCGCATTAATGTTATTGTTGTTGATGTTTTACAAAGCTGAAGAAGCAAACATTATCGGCAGCTACCACATTAATGTTAACAGGATACTTTCTTATGACACAAATTACTGTCTGATACACCCCACTCTTACACAAACTTTTCCCCCAACATAATCCCTACCTTCTCCTGTTGTTGTCTGATGCGCACCATCTCCTCCCTGAGCTTGTTGAGAATGCTATACTTTGGTTCTGGGACTTTCTTGCCCTCCTCATCCTTATCACCAATGGGGTTCTGCAGACCTGTCACTGCAGCTGTGTCTTCCTGGAATGTTATATACACACTTGGAAATTATGATTGTAAAATGTCACCAGTTCACACTCTCGTTCATTTTGAACCAAGGCATTAATTAAAGGGTCACCATTTGCTGAGTTAAGGCAAACAAGATATTACAAAAGTGTAACAATTTGTAAGAAATACCAAACACTGACTGTCATATGATGTAACAAGGGATGGCTTATGTAACAATTTTTTGTAAGTTGACACAAGTATGCAAATATTTTTTTGTTTTATGATTTTTTGAAAACATTTCTTATGATACCTTTTTCCTTGTTCACTGGTGACAGGAACAAAAATTCACTCATGGACCTATGGACCTATGTTATATTACTTTATTGCATGTTAATTTGAAATAAAAGTATTGTGAACTGAACTGAATGGTTTATTGTTACTAACTGGCTAAATGGATAATCCACAGGCAAAAGTTTGAATTGTACCAAAGTAACAATATTTTACAAAACTTTAGGCCTACAAGGTATTAACATGTAAAATGTCACCACCTGCCATTTGTCACAGACACCAACCACCGAACACTGTCCACAAAAAGTTGGCGACTATAAAAAATATGTCACCAATGAAACTTGTAAAGATCAGAAACATAGTAATATTATTTTCAAGAGATAAAAAAATATCTGTTTAATATAGCCTAATAGTTGATACCATCTCTTTTGTTTGCTGTCAGTTAGTCAGTTCAGCGGGCCCACGTAACCAGGGCCCTTTCTTAATATCACATCATTGGACTCTTTCATACTTGAATTGCTCAGTTCACACAAAATGGACTCTTTCTTACTTACCCAGTTCACAAAACATGAGACTCTCTATGGGGCACTTATCACTTATTTTAGAATAATCCCCGATTTTAGAAAATATATTCAAGTTCTTGCTTAGTAAGGTGATATACATACCTGAAGAATTAGGCCAATAAAATCAGTCCCATATAGAATGTGTACCTAACAACCAGTCATTTTATGGTATAAATATTGATTACCAAAGTTACCAAATTGAATCTATCTCTGGTAAAATGTAAATCTTGCAGTCTCTGTAGATGAAACAGATGAGTACTTTTGCTACAAACCTTGAATAGTACTTTGATTTGTGCATGACCTCTAGTATAGCCAGGATGAGGTATACCGAGCTGCTTAACTACAAGCTTTTTTAACATCCTTTGAGAAATATTCCTCTATTTATGACAAGTTGTAAATTAATTGTATAATTTTTTAATTAAATTAATTTTAATTAAATCATCAATTTTTCACTTTTTAACATGTTTGGAAATATTTTTCGTCATATCACTTTTTTCTTCCTGGCTATGTCACACCTTTAGACTGTTCAAAAATCAAAACATATTTTGTCACCAAAAACTATTTATTCAAACTAAAATCTACAATGAACAACTACTAACATTATAATAACTACATGTGATAACTACATTGACTTTCATTTTAAACATATCAATTGGGCCATTAGCCACCATAAAACATACAGTACATGCAATCATATACATAAGTCTAGAAAATTCTATCTACTAGTACAAGGTGGGCCAAAATCAATACAAAAATTGACATTAATTTTCACATTATGCAGTGTCTGACAGCCTTCATCATTGTGAAGATAATTCAATAACCCATGGTACATGTATTACATCAATAGTATAACATATACATAGAAATATATGTTTTTCCAAGGCAGGGAGTGAGATTTCAGATAAATAAGAATGACATATTTCCCAACAGTTTATCTGGACATTAAAACTTGAGTGTTTTTGGCCCACCTTGTATGAACATATGTACCTTAAACGGTACTTCAAGAAAGCGAGGGATTCCTTAAATATCATACACGGATGCTCATCAGTGTTTTATCAACAGGTCAAATACTTAAAGACTTAATTATCTAACAAGAGCTGTCAAGTTGTGACCAAAGTGAAATGTATTTGAATACAAGGACGGACACTTATTAATAAATGATGATGCACTTAAACAGGAAGGAGATCAATCCATCCATTAATTATCAATTTTGTTTTGTGCACTAAGAACTAGCGGATTGAATATCATTTTCACAGCAACTGAGCGAAGCTAAAGTGCTTTAGGCAATCAGATGTTAAAACAAAATGTTGTCATTATGAATAGTCCACAGAGAAAATTTGTCCTCAAAATGAATTGCCTGAGAATGTCATTCTAAAATGTCCTCATAAATGTTGGACATATGTAATATTGATATTACATCATTTCAGTGGCAGACATCTCGGCTTCAGAGTTCTGGGATCCTTCAGATGTCACTGTACTAGCTGGGGTGTCAGGTGGTGCCAGGCCAGGTGCCACGATTTGTGGCACACCACCAGGTGCCATGTTTTGTGGTATGCCATAATTAGAATCCATGGAAGTACAGGAGATGGTCTGCATGTACTGTTGCTGAAGCACACCAGTGTATGGATTAGAATAGTAGACTGGCTGAACCAGAGCATAGCCAGGGGGAATACCCTGGTGCTGTGGTGGAGGGGGTGGGGGGCTTGGAGGTGGGGGATGCATGTAGGGATTATACTGTAGCTGGGGATTCATATTCAGATGTGGACGTGGTCGAGGGGGAGGGGGTGCAAGTTTTATTTCAATATTTTTCCCCTTCGCTGATTGATGAGGCCCAGGGCTTGAGGATCTAGAGTGACGATGTCTCGCCTCTTTGATGTCCTCCTCTTTGATGCCTACATAGGTAGTGTCTGGGAACTGGGTGGCCTTGTGGAAGACCCCATGTCCTGTCCAGTCTGTCTGTACAGCAGCTTGTGCCAGCTGGTCATCACTAAGAGGTGCAGTGTCAGTCTGTGTAGCCATGTGGTATGCCACCAGTTCAAATGATTCCTGTATATCCATGATGTCACTTCGTCGCTTTCGGGTCACTTTTATAATTGGCATGGCCTCTGATTGGCTAGATTTGTTGAAGGTATCCATGAGACTGCGGGTCATTACAGTTTGGCTTGCTTGATGAACTGTTGGAAATTCTTCATGCAGAGGAATCCAGTCGAATCTGCGCTTTTTTGCCCCATCTTGCTTTTTCTGATTCTCAACATGACAATCTTTAGCATCTTCAGTCAACTGGCTGACAGTAGGTGTTTCAACTTGTGACTCAGTGTGTACTAAAGTTACTGACTTTTCTTCAGTCTGAGTCAATGAATTTGATTGGCTTGGACCCACACAAGAGTTAGCATGCAACATCATCTCTGATTGGTCAGCTGTTTGTGTCGATGAATTTGATTGGGTCAATGCACCATTGTTGTGCAGTTGCAGAACATCAGTTTGTGTGGCTGTATTACATTGGGTATGTACAGGGGTGGCATCTATCTCATCCAGTCCATCATTTTCATCCTTATTATCATCATACTGGAGCACATAGTAGAAGAGTTGCTCATAGGGTTGGAACACAGCTTCTCTGGCTAATTCTCGCACATCCTCATCAGTAACTGGCAGAACTGGTAATGCAAATTGAAACATCTCACCATCTAAACAGCTTTTATCTTCATAAACAGGGCATTTATCATCATGTTCCTGAACCTTGTTATCCTCTGCAAAGCCTTCACCAGAATGTTTGGGCCCTTCATTGTCATCATCAATATGGGTCTCGTCTGTCATTGTTTCATCGGTTGATTCATCCAAAAGCATAGGAATCCCATCTTTCCCATCCTGCTCAAGTACCATACCTGACCCTTCATTTGCATCATCTGCACTACCTTCAGCATCACTTAGGCTTGTGACTCCCATAGCTGCATCAACTCTATCAACTACCTCCAGACAAGTTTGCTGGACATCCTTAAACACAGCATCTTCATCCCCTGACTCCTGGACATCAGGCTCGCCTGTTGAGATAGAAGACTCGGAAATTCTCATGTACGTTTCTATACCATCATTCTCTGCTTCAGGGTTTACTTTGGAACTATCAACGATGCTTCTCGTTGTGACATCAAAGTCCCGTTTAGTTGTAAAGCTTGAAGGTTTAACTTTAGGAAATGTCGGGGATGTCTCGGAGGTGCTATCTACAACTGATATATCATCCAGACTGAAGTCAACATTGTTTGAGTTTATATCAAGTCTGCTTTGATTACAATCAATGCGACTTATGTTGATATCTGTGTTATTTAGATTGATATCAGCATAACTTAGATTGGTTTCAGCATTGTTGAGATCAGCGTCAATCTCTGATCTATCAGGACTAAGCAGGTGTGACTTGTTACTCGTGTATAGAGAATCTTGAACTGGCTCGTTGGTAGTGACATCTATGGGTGTAACTGTGTCCAAACAGCTTTCAGGAGCTCCACTTATCTGAAATACAATCATATACTGGTAGGTGCAAGATTAAATAAATATTTGATTTTGAATGAATAACATATAATCATTCCAATGTTTCATCTCACCAAGTGATAATACGAGTAAAATATTAAATGAAATGACGTCCAACAACTTGCAGATTTGTGATACTATTCATTGAGGTCAAATAGCATTTTTGGTGATTTCTAATTTCATAATTTAAAACAGATCTAAGTATCAATTCTAATCTTATCTATGGCAAACAAATAAATGCAAAAATAACAACAGAATGAATAAAACAAAATAAATAGCTTAATTATTTAAGGTATGTTTAACGTCAGTACAAACATTTGTTGTTGAAACATTAAACAATATTTGTGTTGAATTACTGTAGCATGCTGAATATTTCATAGTTTCACTTACCAAGCATGCTTCACTTCTTGGTTCCATCTGATTGCAGAGTTTTGTTACACTCTGCAGTCATTTCTTCCAGTGTAATTCACTGGTCATGTGACCAGCATAAATCAGTGATGTGTGCAAATCTTAGATGTGTCAACTCAGTGGTAAAGTCAGTTGCCTGTTCATTAGTGATGTCACTTGTTGTCATATGTCTTTCAGGTCCAAAATGATTTGGATTCAATGTATTTATTAAACCTAGTCTTAAGGAGACTGATCAGCCTTATGCTATTAATACGTCTCAGAGACAACTGGCAGATGGGACCCTTCAGATAAAATGTGAATTTCCTGTCTATTTGATCTTTGATCAGTTATGTGAACAACATGGAAAGAAATCAAATGGGGATAATTTTTACAAAAGATGAAGAACAATAAAATCGAAAAGTACACTTTTTAAGGCAAAACAAACATCAACTTTTATTGTGCTGATTTTCTATTTTTTAAACTGTATTTCATTTTCTTACAGAAGGTGGGCAAAATCAGATTTGCGAAATCACACAAAATGAGCTGGTGTCTGATAGAAATATCTAAAAAATAAGTTGGACTGCTCCATGTTTAGATGTTATTTTTTACATCCTTCTTGGGTCTGAACATTTGATTATAAGAACATAAATTATAAAACAGAAAAATAGCCTTATATAATGCAAAACAATACAAACAGTTGAATACTGTATAAGCAACTCCCTTGTTTAATAATAATGAAATTAATATCTTACATAACATAATTCTGTACTACAAACAGTATCTAATACATATAGGCAAATTAACCCTTAATATTTTGAGGCAGAGACATTGGATTTCCAAGATCCTAGCTCGACAGTATGTTTTCATTCATTTCATTCAAAGCCAACCAGGAATTAAATCTATTTAACTAAATATAAAACCAATGCTTGGAGGACTGACAGACAAGTTTTTCAGTCCCAGAGATCTCTGGAGATCTTTTAATTGAAAGGTTACACTAACGACCCATCTTATCATGGTGTAACATGAGGCTTCACATGAACCTAAAATTAAATTGGCAGTATCCCATCCCTCAACTTTTCCTGGATGCATTTAATTAAAATGCAATAAGTCTAAAAACACTTTTTGAGCTGTTGCCTATTAAGAGTTAATATGCTGCTGTTGCTTTGGTTATGTAGCTTGTAAAGCAATTTTCTCCCCAGGATTATTTCATCTTTTCACATGCTATATAGGTTTTCAGGTGAATGGAAGCCAATTTTCAAACTCTTAAGTGGTCCTACAGCACCCACTTGGTTTAATGCAGAGGATTTCACTGTAGTATGTGACAATTCTTTCAAAATCTTATTCCAGGCATTTTGATGTAAAGTTGCATAACCAGTGTAACAGCATTTCCATGTGGAGTGCTGCCAGTGTAACAGCATTGCCATGTGGAGTGCTGCCAGTGTAACAGCATTGCCATGTGGAGTGCTGCCTTAATTGAACTGTTAGTAGAATGTAGATGTGAGAGACTGGTCTAGAGACATTTGGTTCTAAACAGAAGGGCATATTGTGTTCAAAGTCAAATAATAAAAAAATGTAAGCATAAATGTTTGTCTAGAATGAAAGAATTATAGTAAAAAAATATTTCGCAGCTTTGCTTTTATCAGAATTATATACCTATGACCAGCCTCCACACATTTTCAGACATATCTCTAGCAAGACTCACCTTTCGCTCTTTCTGGGCATGGAGTGACTCGCGACCGTAGAGACGTAGAAGAGACCCCCAGCATTGAATATAGGGGTGTAGAAGCTGTTAAAGATACAAAAAAAATGAATTCACATAAACAATATAGAGACCCTTTTAGCAGTCACCATTCTGAAAGATGTGAAGACAAGAGATTCGTGCAGAAAGTTACTAGTTCCGAAGACAATCTCACATGCAATGATATATTTGATTAAAATTAAATGACTCAAAATGTTATACAGATAATAATTATAATTGATAACATATTTTTTATCATCCGTACGGTAATCAATCATCCATTATTCTTTTTGTAAAATGCAAGGTTTTCTTTGAAAGGTGTGATATCAAATCTACCAACTCTACAGTGACTGGTATCTCTATATATCAATATTCAATATCTGCTTTGAAACAATAAAAAGTGTTCACTTCACTAAACATGGCTTCATTTTAAGAGCACTGATAATATTATCATAGGGCTTTGCCTACCTTCAAGATGGACTGGGCAGCCAGTTGTTTTCCAATACGTTTGTTCTTACATTCGACAGTCACTGTGTGCTTCCCTACGGACATGGTGAACTCATTCTTGCGGTGTTTCATTGTCTTTGTGCCCACTGAGATCTCTGTGTCACCCATACCATAATTCCTAGACACAACAATTATACAGAAAATTTATTTATTTTCCAAATTCCATTACTAATTTCTCTAATTCTCCTGTCTGTCTTTCAAGAATCAATGTAAATACTTACCACAAGGCATCACATTATCACATGATCGTAAATGAGCCAATCAGAGAGCAAGAATTTACCTATTGAGGCACTGCAGTAGTATCTGGTAAGGACTTGGCTGGCCTGCTCTACTGGACATCTGGTTCACTCTCGGGTCCTCTATCTTAACCACATCAAACAACTGCAAACACAAATATGTGTAAGCATTAGCTTTCTTCCACTCTATGAATCAGTCCCAGACAGATTGTATGGTTATAGACTATTATAATAGTAGATCAACTGAAGTACAAGTAGAAATGTTTACTTCAAAAGCATTATATCTTTTAGCAAAATGCTCCCACCCAAGACATTGCAAACTCAAATTCCCCCACTTTCTTCTGATATTGCATACCTCATAGTCCTGGAACTCTTTAGTATTCAGTTCATCCAGACCCAACTTTGCCATCTCAGGTATCAGGATAGCTAGAGTCTTCTTAGCTAAAACGTAAAATGTACATATTATCACACATTACATGAAAATGTTAAAAAAGAGTTCTAGAAAATCATCAAAACTGTATTCCTCTTTTTGATATTGAAAAAATGAATTTGATTTACTTATTCAAGGAAAGTCAACATCTAATATTGCTTTACATTTGCTTAATTGAAAACAACAAAAAAGCCACCAACCTGCATCTAGTTTAGCAGCCTTCTTACTGTTAGCTCTTCCTACACCATATTCTACATTATTGATCACAATGGTAGCTTGGAATGGTGTCAGTGTATTGTCTACAATATACAAACAAGCATAGGCCTATACCCTGTTTCTCACTTCTATTTTACTTGATTTTGTATGTACATGTATCATAATCTACACATAATATTGTTTTGTGGAATGAAAGGGAATACACAATACAGGTAATACAGGAAATAAATATATAATGGACACTAGGAAAAATATCCATCGAATTATCTTAATATTTTAAATTGGAACATCTCATCTTGTCATCATTGACAACAAAAATCAGTTTTTCACCCCAACCCTGAATTTGACTAAACGGTGACGTTTGATCGTACATGTAGAGGTCATTTACTCTTGGCAGGTGAATATGATTTCTGTGACTTGAGTATATGATTTGTAGATTCTATATTTGCTCACCTATTTCTTTGAAGGTATATGTAGGGTGTGACTTGAGTATATGTTGTACATACTCATGTAGAATACACACAGGAGATTTGCCATGGGGGTTCATAATTAGCTCTACAAGAAAACAGGCACATGGATTATTAAAGCCACACAGTTTAAAGTACATGTATATTCATTGCAACCTGTTTATGAATTAACTCTCGTTTTGATATGATTATCTACAGACTGCAGTGACTTCAAACCTACTTGAGTGTATTGCATTTGACGTTGTCCCCTAATTATGATTTAAAGTAACAGAGTTATGAGCGCAAAATCACTAACTGAAAAGAGGGTCTCATTCTTATTTGAGTGTAGAACTGTAGACTTATGTGATTGAGCAACTATTTGATTGTAACATTTGAGTTGAATCACTGATGATTAATAATAACAAAGTTATGAATGCAAAATCACTGAACAGATGGTCTCAATTACCTTTCTTTTTCTTAGCTTCTTTGTCATCTCCATTATCTTCTAAAGGCACTTGATATGTTATCAGCTTAGTGTTAACAGGCTGCAATTATCATTAGTTATATTTATTCATTGGCTACAGTACGTCTTCTCAATACTCATTTTAACTTTGCTAATAACAATTTGTTTTTACTGACCAATCATAACCATCCAATGTGTTTTACACAATTTTTATGAATGGTATTTCATATGATTTTTATAAAATATTTTTAAAAAAACAATATATCCTGCAAATTGTAAAGTAATTCAAAAAAAATGAAAAAATGTGGCTAAATCCATCTTTACATCCTTATTCATCTATGAAATGTTCACCTCTATATCATCATTAAGGGTCTAAACTACGAATTATATCCATTATTTATTTTAACTTGTAATTTTAAAGAACTCACCAATGTTGGTCTATTCTGTTTTTGCTTATTCTCGTGTTTCCGGCGGTCCTTCCAAGTCTTGAAACGTTTTATTGTAATTGTTTTAAAGTCAAATACGGTTTTACAATATTCATGCAGTTCCTCAGGTTCTGAAAATACACATTTCAGGGCTTTTGAATGATCAATGGTTTTATAAAATGACTGCATATTTAGTAATTTACATGGAGTAGTGCACAGTCCTGACTTTTTAACAGAAGTAATGGTGTTGAATATTTTAAAATAAGTGAAATTACTTATGGAAAATCACTGACTTCTGTAATAATAATAGAATGTAGGAAGAATACAGATAGATATAGCCAGAGAAATGGATAGTCAGTAAGGTGGTTGCCCATATGGCTTCAGACTTACTCATGAGCACTTCTTTCTCTTGTTGCTCCACACCAAGAATTTTAATCTTATTGCCTAGGTCTTGTACTGCAGGATCAACAATAACTTTCTCTCCATCTCCACTCTCTGTACTTGCACTTGTTGGCACCTTAGCTTCATTAACAGCTGTATCAGCTGCTGTGACTGGAGCATTAACAGCTGATGTTTGAGTCACTACAGCTGCATTAGAGTCATTGAGATTGTCAGTTGCAGCATTTGGACAAATATTTCCTTCGATGCCATTGGTTGTTGAGAGAGATGTCTGACTGGCTAGCGGAATGGCTGGATTGGATTGGCTGGCACCATTTTGTGATTGAGTAGGCGAGTCTTCAGTTTTGATTGGCACCATTGGTTGGACTTGTTGGTTGTCAGTTATATTTGATTGACAAGCTGACTCTGGTTTGTTAGATTCACTTACATCCACATTAGCATCTACTCAAAAAACATGAAGTGCATGTGCATGATGAACATTAATACACACAAAAATAACAAAAAGATGAACACAAACAGTCTTAAGTTAACTATTCTAAAGGTCCAATTATAAATGCAGTTTGTAATGGTTGTCAAGCATCCAAAAATTGTGATTGAATAAGCGTGAAAAATGTTTGACATTTTTATGAGAGGACTTCAATATTATATAACTTTAAAGAAGGGCATAAGACAATCTAGCAGATTGACAAAGGGTTTCATTTCAAGTATTACTGAACAAATAGTATGTTTTGTACCTTTGAGCTTGGCCTGTCGTAGATACTTTTCTTTCTCTCTTCTGTAGCTCATACAAGGTACAGCACATAGTGGGATGTCATGTTTCTGAAAACATATTGCAATTGCATGTATTCTGACATGTCTGATTAGAGGTACAGCACATAGTGGGATGTCATGTTTCTGAAAACATATTGCAATTGCATGTATTCTGACATGTCTGATACAAGGTACAGCACACAGTGGGATGTCATGTTTCTGAAAACATATTGCAATTGCATGTATTCTGACATGTCTCATACAAGGCTCAGCACATAGTGGGATGTCATGTTTCTGAAAACATATTGCAATTGCATGTATTCTGACATGTCTCATACAAGGCTCAGCACATAGTGGGATGTCATGTTTCTGAAAACATATTGCAATTGCATGTATTCTGACATGTCTGATACAAGGTACAGCACATAGTGGGATGTCATGTTTCTGAAAACATATTGCAATTGCATGTATTCTGACATGTCTCATACAAGGCTCAGCACATAGTGGGATGTCATGTTTCTGAAAACATATTGCAATTGCATGTATTCTGACATGTCTCATACAAGGCTCAGCACATAGTGGGATGTCATGTTTCTGAAAACATATTGCAATTGCATGTATTCTGACATGTCTGATACAAGGTACAGCACTTAGTGGGATGTCATGTTTCTGAAAACATATTGCAATTGCATGTATTCTGACATGTCTTATACAAGGTGCATATACAAACATTACGGATATTTTAAACTTTGATATAAGGTAGAAATATTACAGTATTTTGAATTTTGATATAAGGTATTTTGCGGAAACATGTTACATGTATTCATACAAGGTATTTCTGGCCTGGAAACATTACAAGTATTCTGATACAAGGTATTTCAGGGAAACCTTATATGTATTCATACAAGGTATTTCTGAGTTGACTACATGTGTTCATACAATGTATTTCTTGAAACCAAAATTTTTTGTAAATAGGCAATGGAAATATATATTTAGAGAATAAATAATTTCAAGAAGTTAGAAGGACTTACTCTTGCACTACCGGGTCCCAGGAAGTAAGGTCGGGCCAATGTACAGACTCTCGACTGTTTGTGCAGGTAGATTGGCATGCCACTGTCATGTGTCAAACACACCCAGTCCTCAGGTAGAAACTCAAATGGGTCAGCACCATACTCTAATCAACAGAAGGAAATGTATATCAGAAAATATGTAACGCCTGCACTAGGGATGTCACGGTTTCCCGATATTGTCCCATCCCTCAGGACGGGACAACCCTCGGGTACCGAATATTTCGGTTCATGTTCAGGATATACTATATCTCCTGTATATGACCCTAAAACTTCCCAAATGCACGATAAATATGATCTAAACTAGAATTTTCTTTCGTTTTTACAACTTATCTGCCGGATTACATTCATGCGTAAATACCATCTAGTGGCAATTACTATAAGTGACGAAAATTCAAAAAACGAAAATGAAAGACAGAACATGCAGTTTTATCGATAACAGTGTTTCCCTTTGTAATATGCTTTAATTTAAAAAAAAACAAAGAACTTCATCAGCGAGAAAGGTAACAACTTAAAATTAATCTCAGATTACAAGTTTTTGCGCAACATGCACAGCCCTCTTATGACGTTCAAAAGATCCGCGCTGCATAAGCATTATTGGTTATGTCCCGTCCCAAATGTTCCGTCTCAAAATGGATAATTCCCGTCCCGCCCCTGGAGTTTAATTTCTAAAGTGCATTGGACAGAAATTCCAAACTGAAATTTGACAGATTTTTAATTTTGGCAGATTTTCTGCCTCCGCCAATCCGGCAAATTAAAACAAGAGCCAGATTTAGTGTATGTACAACAATGTCAACACTTCTGGTGGAGACATAAAAATGCTAAAAGGTCAAATTGGCAATGGTTCCCATGTTAAAATTATATTTTCCAATAATTTTCCTGTTATTTTCATTAATTTGCCTGTTGTCAGAATTTCTAATGTTTTTGCCTAAGCCACAAAAAAATCTTATTAAATAATGTTTAGTAGGGATGAAAACATTATAGATAGATGTACAATGTGCATGGTAAAACCTATATCTAATTCAAACGCCACTTGAACTGACCACTTGGATAGCTGTTCAGATTAGCAGGAATTCATTTCACATATCAACATGTGAATCAACAAAATTAGGTCAAAGAAAAGGTGTTCAAATCAAAAGGTATTTTGATAAGAGAATACAGGTTTTACTGTGATGTTACCTTTCAGGACGATTTTATCCTTAACTAAGGGAGCAGTGGTAGTTTCTCCAGTCTCAGCTTGTGTTTTATATGTCTTCATCCCTTCATCCAGCCATGATTCTACATCACCTACAGAAGTATTACAGGAAACATTACTTTACTTAAAGTCAAAGATAGGAGATGTGATCACCATAGAGACACAAAATATCATCGACTGAATCAATAAATGTTTTGGATACAAAAGCATCAGTTTAGGCATGATCTAACAAATCTGATTCAATAGATTTTTTACATATTTCAGACTTCTAAATGCTGAAAAGTTGTGCATTTGTAGAAGGTTAATGCTCTCTTGCTGAAAGATGGGTCAGAGAAAAGTTTTTTTTACCAAAAGGAAGTTACTTGGGGCTGAAAGTAATAGTCAAATACTTACTTAATATGTACTTCTTATCTAACCTTGACTGACCCAAATCCTACTCATTTTACATTTTCAAGCAAAAAAATGTTTCGATTTTGAGTTCAATTTCAATATGTTATCCAAGGAGTAATCTGAATACATGTAATTTACACTACGATGACATACATGGTGAATAGACAGTTGAGTGACAACAGAAAAAACAACCCCTCCCCTAGTGTAGATGAACTTTTGACCTGTTATAAAGGTACCTTCAAACTCTTGATCTTCACTTTCTCTACCAGCAGTGTTATCATCAGCATCATTCTCGTCTTCAGATTCACCATCAGAGTCTTGGGATCCTTCATCTGCATTTGACAATCCCTCCTTTTCTGTTGGGGCAGTGCTATTTACAGCAGTATCAACATCTACTGCTGATTCAGCATTCATTGGTGTACTAGTTGCGTTAATGGTAGGCAAGGTTTGACCAACCTCATTTGAGTCTCTTTTAATCAGATCATCTTCACTCGTGGTTTTATTTCCAGTGTTTGAACTCTCAGATTCTGAGCTTGTGTCATTTGTTGATTTAGACTTAGGTTGATAGTAAGTTGCAGGATTTTTTGGTCCTATAATACCCTTCCAGGCTAATAATTTGTTCAAACGCTCTTTTACAACTACTTTTTTCTTTTTTGTTACAGTTTCTACGCTCTCATTATCATCCTTGGCCGTCTCATTTGCTTGCTCTTTATCATCACTTTCATCTCCACTTCTATACTCTCCGGCTTCTTTCTCATCATTAAATGTGGGCTGAACAGTAGTTATCTTTTGAGATTTCCGTACTGCTTCATTTGGTTCATCTTTGGAGCGCTTACGTTTATTTTTTGCAGGATTGCCAGCTTGTATGACATCCATTAATGTAGAAGGCTTAAACATGTTCTCTTCTTCACTTAGTATCTCACCATCCTCTGGGCCAGAGCTAAGCATGCCTTCTTCATATTCATCACTTTGAATTCTGGACTTCCTAACACTTGGTTTATCCCCACTTGGCCCATTAGCCGATGCTTTATATTCACCATCATCATTGTCAAAGTCCAATCTCTGTTCTAAAAGATTAGACACTTGTTTTGATGCTGGTTGGCTTTGGGCTTTATCCATCATGTATTCAGTGTCTTAATTCAAAGTTGAGTTGAATTTGTTTCATCCATGTTGTTTTATAACTTTAATGATTAACAAAGTCAGTGTTCTTTTCTTGGGAGATCAGTTATTCACTGCTGTTCTGTCTTACAATTTTCTATTTTGAAAGTGTAAAGACTGTAAACCCCATCAGCGTTCTGAAAAAATTGAGCTTGTTATTATGCCAGACTAGACCTAAACCCAACAAGTATCACAGAATTTTTAGGAAGATATGAATGCAACTGACATCAAAATGCACTGAACACACATAAAAGACTACAGTGTATAAACTAATCAGTGGTTCATGAAGTTGAATATGTGGTAATATTGAAAACTGCAGTTGTTGCTGAATTCGCACAATGTACTGTTAATTACCAAAGAGAAAGATCAGTATTACTTTAACTTTGCTAACCTCCAGTACAATGCACAAATGACTGTAGTTTCAAAATTAATCCATCTTTAAGTAAAATGGGGCTGCCCAAAATATGTCTTCAAAAACCCTAATTTGTTGCAAACTGTTTCTCCATATGGAGCTAATATTTCACAGCATTGCCATCTTTTGAAAGAGCTATTATTCACCACTGCACTAACTGAGAAACAGAGGAATCATTTTTTTTTTATCAAACTGACATATGCATTTTGACAATAAAAGTGGTAGCCATGTTGAAATTTTGTGAGAATTTTGCTGACACCTCAATTCCCTTTTAAGGCATAACTGATGCTCTGCAGCTCTATGACCTTAATCATATTGGTATTGAGGCTATCAATGATTACTGTGATCCGTTTAATAGTAGAAACAAAACATAAGTGTACTTATATGAAAAAGGCACCAGTGAAAAATGGAATTGCTGAATGTTACTTCGGTCCAAAGCCTTCTCTATATTCCGGCTTTGAGGAGGAAGATTGAGCTGCCTTAGTATTATAAATATTGTAAATCATTGTGTCACACGCACAGTAAATATGGCATAATAATATGAAATATACCTTTATGTATAGATTTGAAGAACATCAGCTCACATCCCCGTCTGAATCTATTGTTATATTTGATTTCTTTAAGCGAGAATAATTTTAAATGTTATTCACGTCCAGAACCGGAAGCCATTTTTAGCTACAGCGAGAAAATTTCACCATTTGTCAAACTCCGAAATGAAATTTTGAAATAGATTAGATCTATCTAAATCCATACAAGCAACGCTTCATCCTAAATATGATTAATATTCTTAAAAATATTTATAAAAAATTTTATTAAAAATGAGTTCTAGGTGTGTGTAGGTGCGTGTAGCACAGTACATACGAAATCAATGAAGTTTCGTCTAGCTGTAAGCTAGAGACTCGAGTAAGCTGAATGGACAAGTGTTGTACATGTTTCTGAGCCATGTTTACATGATAAATAAAAGTGTCATTAAGGTCAATGTCATGCATGTACTTTGGAATTTTTTGCAATTGTGAAAACTTGACGCCAAGAAAGGCCAATAATCACGCCGCTTGGGACCTGAATAAACAAGAAATTTTGAAACAGTCTCAGTCTAAGTGCCCTATGTAGCTGAAAGATATTTGTATTGTATCCCTAATGAGAAAAAATGAATAAATATATGAATGAATTATGATAAAGTGAGACAGCACCTGATCTAGCCTGACAAAAGATGGCGCTGTGGTAAAATCTCATCCAACATTTTCAATTTGTCGAAATTTCTGAAATTCTCTCTAAATTTTTGCACTAATCTGGGTGTTTTGTCAAACGATCCTGATTCCAATTTACGAATCGATAGTAGTCTTATCAAAATAACATAAATCAGTTGAGCAATTGATTCAAATTACCACTGTATTTGCAGTTTATTGACGCCCACGATTTTCAGCGGATATTCCAAAATGCTTTGAGTAAAGATAGCAGCCATCTTTTCGATATGTAAGTATTTTAGAAAATTTGTAATTAGATTTATCAGTTCTTCATGTGATTCAGTAAAATTCAATCTGGGTAATAAAATAAAACAATTAATAATTCTAATTGATTCATAATATGTTTTACTATATTTTTGTTCGACCTTTCAAGAAATGTATTTATACGTAGTCGTAGATATTGAATATAATTGAACTCTGTAACTTTTTCATGCGGCAGAAAAAAGGAAGTTTGTGACTTATATCTTTGTAAGTGATGTTTTCATTATTTTTAGCCCTTTAGATATGTAGACCGTATTTATAGTAAATGTAATTAAAAATAGGGAGGCATATTTGAGTTATTTTGGTACTAATAATGCTTTTCATTATTTCTTCATTAGATCGAGTTTCATGGTTTCAATTTTGAACCAAACGTGAACAAGACTTCAACCCCCACTCACTGTGCAGTCTACTGTTCTTTCATTTTGGAATAAATCTCTAACTCACCAAAGCAGAGTTCGTCATCAAAAATATATACAATGCAGGGCCGTCAGATGGGGGGGTGCGATGGGTGCGACCGCACCCCCCTTTGTCACCCCCCAAAAAAAATTTGAAAAAAAAAATTGAAAAAAATTTTTTTTTTGAAAAATATTTTTTTTTTAATTTTTTTTTCATTGACTTATACACTTTGAAAGTACCCAGAAAGCACCAAATAGCATCTTAAAATTGTAAAATTTTCTAGGGGTATTGGCCACCCCTCACACCCCCCACAAAACAATGGAAAAGTTCTAAATTTATTTTAGAGTTTTGTCTCAGACACTTTTAAAGTGCCCAGATATCATCAAATAGCTCCTTGATATAGTTAGTGTTTCTGGGGGACTTACTCCCCCTCTTGCATCTTGCACTTGCATAACCCCCCCCCTCCTCTGGCGCCCCCCCCCCTTGACCCCCCCAAAAAAATTTTCTAGGGGGAGTGGGCCACTCCTCACACCCCAAACAAAACAATGGAAAAGTTCTGAATTTGTTTTATGTATTGTCTCAGACACTTTTAAATTGCCCAGACATCATCAAATAGCTCCTTGATAAAGTTAATGATTCTGGAAGACTAACACTTACTTGGCCACTGGCATCCCCACTCCACCTCCCCCTCTTGCAGCTCCCCCTCCCTTAACACCCCCCCCACCAAAAAAAAAAAGATTGAGATTTTTCAAATTTTTTTATTGACTCATACCCTTTGAAAGTGCCCAGAAAGCACCAAATAGCATCTTAAAATTGTAAAATTTTCTTGGGAAATAGGCACTTTTAGGCATAGATACTTTTAAAGTGCCCAAACTTCATCGAATAGCACCTTGATATTGTAAATTTTGATATGGGGGACAAACACTTGCTCCCCCTCTGGCACCCCAGCCCCACCTCCCCCTCTGGCACCCCTCCCCCTTTGACACCCCCAAATTTTGAAAAAATTGCGATTGTTTTTCAATGTTTTTATTGACTAATACACTTTAAAAGTGCCCAGAAGCACCAAATATCATCTTTAAATTGTAAAATTTTCTAGGAGAGTTAGCCACCCCTCACATCCCCCACAAAACAAAAGAAAATATTCTGAATTTCATGTATTGTCTCAGACATTTTTTAAGTGCCCAGACATCATCAAATAGCACCTGGTCAATGTTTCTGGGGGACAACCCCTTGCTCCCTTACTGGCACCCCAACCCACTTCACCCTCTCATCCTCTTTGACACCCCCAAAAGAATTTGAAAAAAATTCACCTTTTTGTTATTGACTCATAACGCACAGGCGTACCAGATGGTTGCAAATTCGCTCCAAATACAACCAAATTTCAAAATTTTCCTGGGGGAGAACCCCCGGACCCCCCTGAATGATCGTTTTTTTTATTCACTCAACTCTTATTCCCGTGGTGGTGGCGTACTACTTAGAAACTTACACTTTGAAAGTGCCCAGAAAACACCAAATAGCATCTCAAAACTGTAAAATTTTCTAGGGGGAGTGGACCACTCCTCACACACCCCACAAAACAATTGGAACGTTTGGAAGTTGCATGCATTTGTTAATTCCAAACCAATATAGGGAGTAACTGACCCACCCCCCCCCCCTCTGTCTTACGCGATTTGATTTACGCGGCAAAAAATGACAATTTTATATTCTCTTTAGTAAGCTAAAAACCGCACCCCCCTTGGAGAAAAGTGTCTTACTGCCTGTACAATATTTCCTCTGACATGATCGCATAGTTAGGGCGAAGGGGTGTAACATCGACATCGTTTTGGGGTAACTTCGACATGTGGGGTTACTTCGACACCTGACACCTTGTTGTTTATTTGCTCTAATTTCCGATCTAGGGGGAAGCCATGTTTTTTCCCGCATGGAACTAGTTAAACTGACCGGAGGTCAATACAGAACTCTGTTATCTTGGTTCAAAAGAAATGTTTGAAATCCAGCATGGTTTTGTCACTTGCTGTTAAAGCTCCTATCATTAAAGCAAAATGTTGGGCACAATTTCTGAAAAAATCAAAATATTCTGTTCAGTGACCTTTCCGAAACGCTAACTTTTAACTTTTTTCAGTCACATTTTCAGAAGTCTGAAAAAGCTATTTCAGAATGGTAAGGGTCATTTTGACCATGACCATTGTGATACTGGCCATTAAATCTAGTGAGGCCACCTGAGAGAAGTCAGATAATAAATAAGGTCAGACAAGGTTGAATTTGTTGAACTAAGGTGCCCCCTGGAGTAAGAGTGTGGGGGGGTCTGCAAACACATAAGACAGATGTTTGCAGACCTCCTCCACACTCTTACTTCTAGGGGGCAACTGTGTTTCAATTAAAACCACAGCTGACATAGGTGCATACAAACGTAAATGCACCTGTAGGCCAAATCAATATATCTCAGATAGTCAGGGAGCCTACAGGGGTATGTATTTGTTGCTTTATTAATTTTACAAAACTTGGGCGACTGAAAAACCTCAGATTCAGAGTAACATGTTTACTATAATGTTTGACAGACCAGAAAATAAACATTTTCAACATTTAACAAAAGGGAGGCAATGTTATCCATGTAACTGTCAAACATATTGCTGCACTTAAGAGTCTCTAGCCTCTAGAAAACAGTTTGTTTATGAGTTCTCTTTTTGAATATAATCTAAAAGTTTTTATGAGAATGGTTTTACGTATTGAATTTATTGTTATGGTTTTTTATATATGCAAAAAGTAACAGTTAAAGACAACTTGTTCAAAAACTTTTGACAGTTAAGTTAACTGTTAACTAAGTTTTAAGTGATTGGTTAGAACCTCACTGAGATATGAATATTGAATATGGAAACTCAATTTTGTAATAAAACATCAAATTTGAGTCGACCTGTAGAAATGGCTTACAATGTAATTGTTATACATCTATAATGACCGTGCTGAAAACATTACTATTTTGATGAACAAAAAACATAAGACTAGGAATTAAAGAGGTTCCAGGTTCAGTTTCTACAAACAGCTGTACTTTTTCCTGGGGGGAACTCCAAGATCACTCATTTACAGGCTGTATAACATATACAATATAGATACCATGTGTGATCTATGAGTATATTCTGACAGACCAGGGGTTTCATTATATTAGCAGCAGGCAACAGGCGATTTTCACTGGTGGTGTTCACAAAATTGCCTGTTGTTTATAGGGACTTTTAGATTTATGATTTCCATTAATTTTGCCTGTTGTTTTCATTTATTTAGCCTGTTGTTAGAAATTCTAGTGAAACCCGTGCAGACTGTGTAATAGTAAGTTCAGTAACTCAAATGTTTATGTTTTTTCTTTTATTGCAGAATAGGAATATGTCGTCCATTGACAAGGAACAAGTTGAGAAAGAACTATTACCTTTCTTGGAGAAGACATCAAGGCCTGATCTACGATGTATTGGGATGGAGTATTTCTTAGGACTAACAGGAGCACCTGAGGGAAAACTGTTCATTATTAGTAATAACCAGATTCTTTGTGCAATAATTGAACTTGTGACGGACACTCAATCAGCCATTGCTAAAGATGCTCTATTTGCACTGGTGAACTTAACCCAAGATGAAAACACAGTAGTTAAACTTTTAAGACTTGAAAAAGTTGATCTAACAATGACCTGTTTGGAATATATCCTTGACAAGACAAGTCCGCACGCTGATATTGCATGCAGCCTACTGGCAAATATTACTCGATTTGAAAAAGGTGCACAAATTGTCGCAGATTTAATCATGGCGAAACAGGATGTGATTGGACTAGACAAATTGGTGTCTGCAATGTGTTTAAAAGATTATAACCCTTCAAATAGGCTCCACTACATTGCAGCTGTTCTCTCAAATCTAACTCAGATTCCATCAACCAGGCAGTTCATCATGGATAAGGATAGGTGTGTGATACAGCGACTTCTTCCATTCACTGAGTTCACAGAGTCAACAATCAGAAGACATGGGATTATAGGCACGCTGCGCAACTGTTGTTTTGACACTGGTATATAAACATAAACAAACTATAGTATCTTATGTATCAGTTATGTTTTCTTGAATGAATTCATGAAATAATGTTTTTATTTGATATAACTTCATTTTGTAACATATCGGAATGAATATATTTTGACTTAACAGGCTATGTTCTTTATGATGCACTATTAAATATAAAAGTCAAGGTAGAATTTGAGAATTCAATTGATGGGTGACAGATTAAACCACTTTTTTATACCAAACTCATTTTAATATTAATGAACAAGTGGCAGGTACTATTCATATTTAAATGAGTTGGCCATAAAAAGTAGGTTAAACCATCGCCTGGCAGTTGAATTCACAAATGCTCCCTAAGACTGCTGTCTACATAACTGATCATTCCATGATATTAAAATGCCTTACAAAGTTCAGAGGGACTACAGTAAAACGTGTCTAAGTGTTCAGATTAGCAGGTGTTCACATTTCAAGGTTTCATAAACATGTAAGTCAATGGGACATAAAACATTTGTGACTGAGAAAGTGTTCACATTGAGAGGTGTTCGGATTAGAGAGGTGTTCAGGTACACAGCTTTCACTGTATATGCCCCTGACACTCATCCATACATATTATCACATTCAGTAATGTTGATTATTTCAGAATACCACGAATGGCTGCTTAGTGAGAAGGTGGACATTCTACCACGACTGTTGCTCCCCCTAGCTGGACCCGAGGAGTTTGATGATGAAGACAATGGAAAACTACCTGAGGATCTGCAATACCTTGAGCCCACTAAAGAGAGAGAACCCGATCCAGAAATACGTAAAATGTTGATAGAGGCTATAAATCAGGTTGGTTTGCATTTTAAGAGACCTACATTTCATATGTTTTACCACGACAAGTGGTGACATAGTCTCCAAGCTTTTTGTGGACAGCATTTGGTGGTTGTTGCTTAGCGTCTGTAACAAATGAATGGTTGGTGGACATTTTGCAAGTTAATGACTTGGCTGCCAGAATATTACAATCACAAATGTTTCATTTACACCCTGTGAGAGAATATCATTCAGAACAGATTGAACGATCTAAAGTGTCGATGACAAACTAAGTCTTTTTTATAAAATCATGGAATAAACTGAATTTAGGAAAAATGTTTTCTGTCTGAAACTACCTAAAAAATATATTGCATGGCCTTCTTTTTTGTAAAATGTCTACCACTTACTTATTCTGGAAATAATGAATGTTCTCCAGCAGAGCTGTACGTATTCTTAGGAATTATGTTCTTAGAGTTATAGTGTCACATGGTGATAAATAAAGTAATACCTGTCTTATCACAATGCCACAGAGACCAGTAGCTAAACGTGTTTCAATGCCACATTTCAAGGTTTCTTTAACAAGGGACTTGAGACCAAGAAGTGTTCATTACAGAGATGTTCATCTATACATCTGACCTGTCATATTTTCCTTCCATTTTAGTTGTGTGCAACAAAACCAGGAAGACTTTACGTGAAAGAGAAGAATGCTTATGTTATAATGAGAGAACTTCATAAATGGGAAAAAGACAAATCAGTGATGTTTGCATTAGAAAATCTTGTGGACATTTTGATAGGAGATGAACCTGAGAAAGGAATGGAGAACCTAAAAGAAATACACATTCCAGAGGATTTGAAACAAAAGTTTGACAAAATGGACGATGCACTTATACAGGATGAAAAAACTATTGAGGCTAAAACACAATAATACAGATACTATATACATTATAATAGATCTAATATTTAATGATACATTACAACTGTATTTGTCAAGTTACAGTAAAAATAAATGAAACATCAAATGTACAGTGTATTTAGATTGAGGGAATGTCCCAGCAAGAAAGACAGGGTGTTATTTATTAGTAAAACTTGTTTTAAGTTTAAATGAAATTCAATTCTGCATAAGGGAATTTATATTGATTAAACTAGTGATGGGACACACTTCAAACCCAACTCCAGACAAAGGAGACTGATATCAATTAAAACTCCCAAGTTGCCCAAGGGGTACTTAGCCAATCAAAGACTCTAGTTTCATATTTGGTACTTCTAATATACTAGGAAGGTATCACTATTAAGTATTTGGTCATCCTCCTAAGCAGGTGTCCAGAATCCGTACCTCCTTCTTCACCCCCTGCTATAACCAATTTGGAAGCGCCCGATTAAACTGAATCACATGATCTTATTATGCGCAATGACTTCTACATGATTTCTGTCGCAACAGCCAATCAGATTGCGATTTTATTAATCGGGGAAATGCTAACTGCTTATCGCAGGGGGTAAAAAGAAAGAATATATTCTGGATTTTGAAGCCCTGTGATTGGAGGTTGGTATTTGCTATATATGGAATGAAAATCTATTAATTTAATAATAAAAAGTTAATTTTTCGTGGTTCATTAGGAATAGATTACATGTAGATGCATTTTATTAAATCTACAAATCTGATTGGACGAGACACCATACTATTAAAAAAAATTCTTGAGCAGAGGTCTGTTGCCCAAATGACATTAGCCTATAAATTTGGACTAAATCCTGTGTCATTGGTATTTAAGTTATTCAAAAAATCATTTTTTCATGAAAATGGCAGCCATTTGAATATGAGTAGCCATCTTGAAAGTTCCTTCTTGAGCAGATGTCCTATGCATTTCTGACAAAAAATGGTGGTCATACTGAAATGGTGGTCATACTGAATCTTTCTCAAGCAGAGGTTCTATGCCCATAAAATTTGAACCAAATTCGACCAGTGGTATTTGAGTTATTTGCCTGGACACACCAACAAAAGAACAAACAGATGGTTTCTCTATATCCCTAACAGACCCGTGGGATAATAAGTAAATGAACAAGAAATCATGTATTTTATTTTAGGTGATTCACCTTCTATTCTTCCACTTGGTGGCAGTCTCCTCCATGTAATTCACAGCTTTCTTTCACTAGTTTAATATTTATAGAACAAACCACAAGATATCATGATTACAACACAATATCATGAGTATAACAAGATATCATGATTACAACACAATATCATGAGTATGACAAGATATCATGTGTACAAGATATCATGATCACAACACAATATCATGAGTATAACAAGATATCATGAGTATAACAAGACATCAAGATTACAACAAGATATCATGAATACAAAACTTGAAATAAAACATGGAATTAATAATACATGTAATAATTCAGAATAAGATAAGAAAAATCATGACCAAGCGATAACTTCATCATCTGACAGTGAACACTTTTTCAGAAATTCTTCCAAATTAGGATGTTTTCTGAAGCTATATTTTTATTCTTGCTCTCAATATTTATAACATTGGCTTTTCATTGCTTGGTCACGATGCACGTCACGTCACAAAATTGAATAATACTGAATACAGTAAAACCGTTATTAGTGAACACCTCTTTCTAGTGAAGAACACCTGTCCCTAGTGAACACCTTCCTCCATACAATGTCATACTAACTCTATTGACTACTGTACAAATTATCCTCTCTGTAGTGAACAACTACAACATTGGACGTTTTTCTTGACAAAACAATGTTCAATATACACAGGTTTTACTGTACTTTAGTTTATAATATTTTTTCTAGTCTCACATGTAGTAACATTACATCAAAGCTTACTAGATGAATGTTTGAATGAATTTACATCAGGCGTAATAAAACACGGAGATATCTTGAAACGTAGAACTGAACGTGTGCTATGGGAAATGAGATACTCAACTGCACTATTAACAAAATATTGAGAATTATATGCAATGATATATCCATAAAATATGAAAATTATCCAATGTATATACAATTACAATTTAACCTACTTTCGTTTACTGACATTAAACAGAATTAAACCAAACATCAGTTTGACATTAAACCCAACTAAATCTTTCTGATATTGTTTTTTTTTATATAACATTTACAATATGACAAATATTTAAAATAACATATTTTTGTGTTTTTTGTTTTGCTACTACCAATAACCAACCACATTCAGTACATGTGCACTATAACAAGTCACATTCAGTACATGTGCACTCTGACAAGTCACATTCAGTACATGTGCACTATAACATGTCACATTCAGTACATGTAGACCCTTACAAAATAACAAGTCAAATACAGTACATGTAGAATTGTAGACCCTTACAAAAAATCAATTGAGAATTTTTCTGTTCAGAGGACGTTCTGGAAGTGTCCAATTCAAGTTTCTTTTTGTAAGGGTGTCAAATTCAATTTACTTTTTGTAAGCATCTCAAATTCTATGGAACCAATATTTCAAGTAACAAAAATAGAGAACATTAAACTAGTTATACTTTCTTTTCACTACATTAATAGATAAAAGTTTTCTCTACTATAACAGATCATTAATATTGATCCTAATATATAGTCAAATCAGTGAGTGTGAACAAGACATTGCCATAAGCTTATGTGAACATTTTAACAATTACCAAATGCAGCACACGTGAAAAACCTTAAAGAATGATGTAGCAAATAGGAATAAACAGTCAATAAAAATCATCTAATTACCAGGATGAAATATTTTTACTCCCAACACTTGACAATACAACATGTATTAAGTAAACTGACTTGTGGGAAACTACTCCCATGCTTTATAATACAATAGATTATATAACAGTAAAGCTTCTATCTCAGAAAGTATCAATAAAGACACACCACAAAATATTTATTGACAATTAATCATAAAGAAAAAACTTCAAATTCTAGGCAATTAGTGAATGGAGGACACACTGTCTTGAAGGTAAAATCCATGGAAGTCTCGGTTTTCATTGGAAAAAAGAACTAGCCATAACTTTTAAACCCAGACCACCTGATGATTTTTACCAGGGTTTTCAACAATTTACAACATCAAGAGGACTGCTTCACTGTTCAAAGTTGTCAGTATAACTTAACTATATACACACTGTTGCTCTTATTCCAGTGTACACATTGCTCAAATGCACATCTTCGTGAACGTAATGAGAGATTATATTTCTTTCCCCTCACTCACTCTATTCTATTTTTCAGTTTCACATGTCAAGCATAATCAACAATTTACGTTTACATCCACAAAGTGTTATGTATACACACAGTATCATGTACATGTACAGTATAAATATATACATGCACATAGTGCTATGTACATCACACATGTTATGTACATGTACACCGTGTTATGTAAATGCACATAGTGTTATGTATTCACATTGTACACCCACAAAGTACTATACACACCAGTTGTGTTGGGGACATGAAAACCTTGAAATCTGAACAAATCGCTGTGGCATTCAAATTAAACATGTTTCCCTGTGTACAAATTGGATGAATTTGTCATGACATAAATGTCTGCCATAAATAATAAACTAATGTATATATGAACTACTTCAGAGAACATAAGTTCACACCTAAAATGAAAAAAAAATTGAAATACGCAGGTCGCACGTAAATGATTAACAAGAACAAGTATTGGGTGATTTATCTTGAATAACAACTGAGAAAGTATATTCGATGACTTAAATCGAATGACTGAGTTGGAGTATGTTAAATAAATGTGATATGACTCTATATAAAATGACATTCAGTGAGGGTAGTATATTCTCTGGTCATGAGAACTAGAACTTGACACCATTTTCAAGCAATACTCTGCTTTTTTAGCATGTATGACATCAACCAAATTCCTCACTTATTCATTCAATTCATCACTCAGAGGGTGTGTTAAGTTGACCAGAGGGAGATTGAATGGAATTAGGATAACCAGAGAAAGATACTCAGAGACTATAAATCTTCGACATGTTGGCAATCATTTATTTTAAATTGCGAGATCAATTTGTATTTACAACAATAATTTCTGAGAAATATGTACACATGTTTTAAGCTATTTTTTAAGCATAATGATAAACTAATGATAATTACAAAATATTTTCCGATCCAAAGAGCTCAGACTTTGAATTCAATACATTTTGTGGATATAGCGTGTGAAAAAAATCGAAGTTTGATATTTCAAAAAAGCAGATCAAGTGTGTAGAAATGAGGGTATGGCCTCCAGGGGGTGGGGGGCAGGTGTAATGGGTGCTGTCCTGAATTACCCCAAAGCCTTTCATGCGGAATTGACACCTTTGTCCAATCAAAACTCAACAGACAGGGCTCTGGTAGCGATTACCAAGTTACAATTGATTCTAAGACCAATTGACATCCATCTTCTTTCAACACAGTAACTAACCAAACCACAACATACTGCGAGCATTTTGAGGTTCTGTGTTGAGCTGTTTATACTGTCAAATATGTTATCATGTATTAAGGCCCATGCGTAGCATACCAACAGTATCATAAGGTTTGGTTAATACCCGTGTTCAATAAGATATCGGAAACACTTCAATTGGTCCGCAGCCTTATGTATCTTCTCAATAATACATGAACTGCCTAGGATTTTTTTGCAGTTTATGAGCACCATCCCTTCACTTTACTTCACGACTTCAAGATGAGCATAATTTACATATGTACGTATATTGAAATGAGTTCACAACAAAAATTGTTTAATTCACTAATGTCTCAATTTTATATACTAGAAGACATAAGAAGATAATGACATAATTATTGAAATAATAGTTGATACCAATTTTCTTAGCAATAACAATGGCATATGACGAACATAACTTAATAACTGATAATAACTATTTATAAAGAGTAATAAGACTGCTATTTACAATATACATCTACTAAGGACTATCATGACTTGATAGAGCAATGCATACATTCTCCCAATGTATGTCAACTGTACATTGTCGTTTTTGCTTATTCCACATAATTTTTTTCAGTTTAATGTTTAATCCACTGCTTGAATATTTATTCTGAATTCTTGATAACTTGAAACGAACAAATGTGAATCATCAACAGACATGAACAAGTGAATCATAATGCATGCTACATAAGGTGAATCTTAATGATTGTTACATACACACGGAATCTTAATTAGGGACTACACATCAAATTGTTTTTTTAGATACACCTTCAAGCAGCAAATACACTGTCTACAAATTGAAAATCAGCATTCTATATTGTAGAAAAACGCAAGATTACACATTTCATTTAAATTGTGGAGAAATAAGCAAAAACTCAGTGACATTTTATATGATTGACCTCAGATATGTGAATAGACTTTGTGGCAAAAATTTTGAAATATTTGGCTTAACTCATGTAACTCTTCTGGCCTTTCAGAGACTTTTAGTTCACTTCTCAGTCTAGGAGTTTCTCAAACCTTTTTCTAACATCTACTTTTTCTGATTTTCAAATTGGAGATGAAATATGTATGAAAAACTGCAAAATGTTGTGCATTTCATCAACTGATGACACTTGTATTTTGTGAAATTGTGCCTATGTGAGATTTTGATTTGATCCATTGTGATTTCACAACAGGGATAATAACATCACAAAACAGCTCTCGATTTGATAAAAATCTATTATATAAAGAAATTCAGAGAGCACTGCTTTCTCATGTTTTAAAGCATATAATGCTTATTTTTCTGACTAGGCGGACATTTTTGTCAATCACCCATCTTGTGAGATATTCTCTCTCTTATAGGATTCTTTGTGTATCTTGGAGCAATCTTGCATTTCCAGTTAACACATAAAGTATAAATACATCACACCACACAGACCACATACAATTTATGATTTTACAATAATCAATAGTTTCAAGCAAGCAAATGCTTTTGTGAAATTATTCAAGATGTGGTCATTCGTAACTTCTATGTGGCTGCTCACATTATTCAGTGCGTAACCATTTGCTGCTGCTGGCGTTCTATCTCATCAAGAGTCATAACTTTTTTGCCTGCAGCTGGCAATGGAGGCATTGTGGGTAGTTGTTGCTTTAAGACATCATTTCCAAACCACTTTGAAAAATTATTATTGGCGAATGGTAACGGACTTGTAGATTGTTGCATCCACGGTAATGGACTCCTTGGGGGTAGTCCCGGACTTGTAGCTCCTGGGGGTAGAGGGGACAGAGATCTACCTAAGACCGCAGCTGCCGCCATGTTAACATTCAACATATTGGGGCTACGTTGTGAATTCATAACTTGAGGCGACTGCTGAAAGGTGGCAGCACGTGCACTGGCTGCTGCTTGGAGACGTGGGTCAATAACGCCCCTCTGTTGTTGTTGTTGCTGTTGTTGTTGGGCTTGTAAGACTGCCATCTGATTGAGTTGGTTCAGCTGGTTCAACTGAGCAAGCTGACCTTGGCTCATATTACCTGCAAAAATCAATTATTATTAGTGTGATGAACAACGTTTTGCATTTCTCAGTCACAAGTCCTGATGCAATGTCTGGTTTAAGTTTCAATCAATACAGTACACGTGTATCATCAGTTTTATGCAACACATTAACTTGTATTGTGTATCTATCAGACAAATATGTACAAATCTATTACATTAACTTGTAAATGTGTATTTACCTGGTGACATGAGTCTCTGCATGAGTAATGCATTTGCTGCAGCTGCATTGGTGACTGCATTGGTGCCTGGTCTCACAACACCTGCCTGTTGGAATCCTGGCACTCCTCTAACTGGCACTCGGCCTGCAATATCAAACAATTACTTCTACATTCATATATTGTATACAAAAGAAACCACATATTACTGCAACATAGTTAGGAAATCACAAGTTACTTCCACATTCATAAATAAGAAACTACAAATTACTGCAACATTCAAATACAGGAAACCACATATAACATGTACTTTTATACTCCTGTAATGAACACATATTCTCAATAGGACCTCAAAGCATGTTTAGTCATACAGGCTGTGAAACAAAGAGATGAAAGCATTCAATAAGAAACTCTGCTATGGCCTCATAAAGTATATACATATTGTAATAAACTGGCCTCTTATTATACATACAAGCCAGCATTGCAATTATCCTGAAGTTGTAACAGCTCAATATTATGAGTTTGATTTGAAACTAGTGTCTATATGCAAATATATTATTAAACTTTCATCATATCAAATCAAACATGAGGTGTATGTAGCTACCTTGCTGAATCTGTTGTTGACCTGCTGTTCTTGCATTCTGCTGCTGTAACCTCTGCTGCTGATCATGTAACAACTTCTGCAGATCAATGTTCACAGCTGGATTGTTTGTACTTGGAACAGTTGAACTACCTGGGGTTGCCATGGTACCAGGTGTTGTCATAGTACCAGGCGTCATCACAGAACCAGGGGTTGTGACACTTCCAGGGGTACTGGCACTGACTGGTGTCATGTTGACACTACCTGGTGTCATGTTGACACTACCCGGAGTCATGTTGACACTACCCGGAGTCATGTTGACACTACCTGGTGTCATGTTGACACTGCCAGGGGTTGTTAAGCTTCCACTACTGTTTGTTCTTTGGGGGTTGGGAGGTGTTTCACTTGCTCCTAAGTTAAAGATTAATTAAACATTAAAAAAAACATATAAAGAGACTCTGCAATTAATATAAATATAAAGATTTATAAAGGTACATAAAGGTCAGCTATGGCTGCCTGTTTTTTGTTTAGAATTTAGTGTGAAATGTATGTAATGATGAGGGAACTAAACACTGACATAATGGGAGAAAGGTTTTTAAAATAAAGTAAACAGTACACAGTGACCTAAAAGGTTTAAAATTAGATTGAAATACATGTAAAGCAAGCTACAAATCTGAAATACCCTTTGTTAAGGGCCAATACTCCAAAGTACATTTTGTAAAAATATGAAGACATTTGGTGCAGAATTAACAAAATGTCATCACTAGTCCAGTTACTTTTGGAACACCATGTAAAGAGAGCAATCAACAAATGTAAAATACCTTTTATTATAGGTCTGCCAGCTGGACTTTGCTCTGAGGATGACACAACATCTACCTGCACGGGATAGTTCTTCTGTCCAGTGAGGGCACGGGGGGTGACTGGATCAGCCTCATTGGGAGAGCTAACCACCATAGTGGGTGTATTTTGGATATGTTGAGGGGGTAGGGAATGTGGCGGTGTGTGTTTGGGAGAGGAGTGGGCGTTAGTGATCGGACGATGTTGAGGAGAATTCATGAGAATGTTCTGGAGCAATTGGAGCTGTTTTTCATTTGTTGTCATGGCGGCACCATCTTTTTGCTGTGGCGATCCTTGAATTATAAATAGTATAATCTATTAACATACACAACCACTAAAAACAAGTCCAGAGACAAATGAAGAGCATGATATTAAAGTTATTAGAAACACAGTACCAGTTTCACTCACCAGGAGGATTCGCAGTACTATCGTTCAGTTTAGCTGCCTTGTCTTTCTCATCCATTTTATCGGTTGCCATTTTACGTATGACGGATGTCGGCAGAAACGTGTTCATTGGGGCCTTGTGAGTGGCTGCCGGTTGTGACGTAGTTGGGAAGTTGAATATGGGGGCAATGCTTGTAGGAGATCTCAGATTTATCGGATTTGGTGACTTAGCACGTCCCCTAAAACATGAAATTACGAACTAAGATACTAGCAAGAACAAAACAAAGTTTTCCTTGTTTATTAGAGGAAATCATGGAGACACAGATGCATGTGATTAAGTGGGGTGAAGTCAGGCATTTATTTCTAAAATAGCAGGAAATTCACATACATTTATTGGAAAATCATAAGATGAACAACTTTTTTCATAAAGTCACACTTTTCAAAAAACGTCTCAAATAGCTTTTCAAGTCATGAAAAGTAATATTTGAATGATTAAACTTCATCTTGGAACTTTGAAAAGGTCTTTAATATTTGTGATGTGGACTAGGTGTTAATTTTGACAATTATGGTACAGTGATGACAATTGCAGCAGAAATACTTATGACATATCACTTTTTCAGGGGTATGTGTTTGCATGTGAATCTTCCCAGAATGAGAGGATACATACGTGTCATGTTGCTTCTTGAGAAACCTCTCCTTCTGGTCCTCCAACTGCTTCTTAATGAGAGCATTCTGCATGATGGCCTGGGTATGTGCTATTAGTTCCTGGGGGGAGGGTACACGAGGCACAGGAGAACGACACTGGGGAGAACCCTGAAATGAAAAAGTCAATGGTATGACAAACAATTTAATGCAAGAAAGGCATATCCCATATTCTTAAGGATGCAGTACCAGGTCAGCGTAGAAAAAGTTCCAGACATTAGATTTTGCTCATATTTTTTACAATGTATCACTATGATGTTATCATCATCCAAGTGCAATATGAAGAGGATTGACCATCTGGTAATTACAAAATAAAAAAATTATTTTACCCACCCAAAATGAATCTTTTTACTTTTTGAGTTTTCAATAGAGCTGGCACCTTTCGAACCCTGGTTTTCGTATCCACTAATTGCGACTCAAGAACAAGTTTTCCCATAAAAGTGAAAGGGATAAAATATGCTTGATAAAATGTTTGCAATTTAATTCTTTTCTGGAAACACCATTATCGAAATAAACTATAATTTTTGAATAAGACTAAATGCGAAAATGACGTTCTTGGGAGCTAGCTTTCTCAAACCGGAAGTCAAACCTGCGCAAACAGACGTGAAAAGCGACCCGGTACTGCATCCTTTAATGGTGCAGATTAAACTTGAGTCAACTCTGAATATGATACAGAGAATAAACTGCAAAATGGTAAAACATTTTCATGTACATTATACTGATTTACTCCTAAGTCATACTCATACTAACATGTACATCAAACAAACTTTCGAAAAAACATTAAGAAGCTTGTAAATATGTTATAAAGTTGAAAGACTTACCAATCCTTGGGGAGACTGAGAGGCATGTATGGGAGAAGGTGCTGTAAGGAGAGGGGGCGGTTGAGTGCTGAACACTGAAATAAACAAAATAACATTAATTAGCTCATATGAATGCAGCCAATTATGACTTATGAATTCAATCTGAATATCTCAAAAACTAAAGCAGGAAAATAGTATATTCTATTGAACAAAATATATTATATTGAAATCACTTTATATTTATAAGCATTTTATGGTAGAAATAACAAGGCAGGGTTATTGTCTCTTTATGGCAAAATCTACTCTTATGATGTGATATAACACTTTATTCAAAATTCATATGATCATAAGGAATCAGCTTGTAAAATGTAAAACCAATCTGTCAACTTGTATTTGAGTTATCACCTGAACAGACAAATCAATGGACAGCCTCTTTTTATCTCTATTTGAACTTAGTTTGGTGGCATAAAAATAACACAAGCAGTACTACTAATATCCTGTGTGTACATTTAATTTCTGAAATGTGTGATAGTAAGCTGTTCCCAAAGGCATTTTCATATACTCCATCTCACTAAAGAGTCAATGCAAACTTACTTATAGGAGAAGGTGCCCCCCGGGGAGTGGATGCCTGTGCCTGCAGTAGGCTTGAGGGGACGGGGGAGTTAACCCTTGGTGTAATTGTCTGCTGCTGTTGCTGCAGCATCTGGGGAGGAATTGGAGACGCAGGCTTTGTGACAATCCTTGGTGTTGGCTTGATTATATTCAGCAATTGGTGCTGCTGTTGTTGTTGCTGTTGTTGTTTTTGATGTTGTAATTTCTGAATCAGATCTTGTTGTATTCTTTGTTGTTCTTGACGGCGAAACAGCTCCTAGAAATAAAATCCAAATATTACTCCTCTGGTGAAACACTAATGAGAGAATTATACTTAATTATCATGTAATTGAAAATTGTCCAATAATTACGCAATTAGCAGACATTATAGGCCCTTTGTGGTCAATTCTTATTACAATTTTCGTACATTTCTGGGGACTGGGTCTATAGGACCTTGTCCCATTATTATAGGGAAGCCCTTAACAATAATCTAAAGGATGTGTCCGGGTATATGCCCTTTTGGTCCCTCAGTCAAATGAATGTAAAATATGGTTTTTATTACTGTCCTAGTTATATTTGATAAGTATATTTACTTTTTCACGAGTTTTGATGCATAATTAACCCCCTGCTGAGAGTCAGAATAAGTATTTTAACAAACACAAAATAGTCATTTTCATAGAAAAAAACACCAATGGCAACATATATGACTTACAAAGAAGAAATAACTTAAGACCCATGAAGAATTTAAAAGAAAACCATATTTTTGAAATATTTTTTAAGGATTAACATTTTTTTCAAATTTTTGAATTTCCCGCCAGTTTAATTTGAAGAGGGAAAAACAAGATGGCTGCCATTTGATGTAAGAAATATCAGAAAAAAAGTTGCTTCACTTTTAGTTTTCACAATGAGCACAGTTTTCCGGTTTAGGTTTTTTCACTGATTCTGACTCTTCATCACCAGGGTCATGTATAGAGATCATAAAATTGAAACCAAAATGTTGTGCTCAGCATGAATTTGACTGAAATATGTGTAACTTCACCAACACAATTGAAGTCTCAAAACTGGATGCTCAGTAACTTTGAGTGACTATAATCCCTTGAATACCCAGATAAACACCAATTCACTTATCCTGAAATACCATTCAATGTCAATAATAAGAAAGTAAGCAATGTTTTGGAGGATATGTTTCAAACCTTTTGTATAAATAATTCATTTAATATTTGCCATTGATTTTTTTTCAATTCTGACAAAGTGATATGCACTGTCTTTGATGCCAATATTCTTCATTAATTGTGATACAAATTGATATTTTTGTACTCCAAGAAGAAGGATAAGATATTGAAGTTTAATAATATGTGTGATTGAGTTGGTTTTTCAGACATTACAATTTTCAATATTTTCTAAGTCGATACCCAGACTCATTCCCAGACTCATCCTTTAATGACAGGAAACTCCAGTTACCTGTATGATTTCAGTTTGACTGTGTGGAGGTTTGGCATGGTTCTGCTGGGGCTGAACATGCTGCATCTCAACAGGGGATGCTGCATGGGCACCTTGATGCACCTAGTAAATATAAGGAGTACAATTTGTAGTACTTGGTTCAAATGATGATGCGTTTCCAATAAAATCATACAAGGCAGTAACATACCATTTGTTACAGACGGCAACTGTCTAACACCAACTGCTATCCACAAAACGTTGGGAGAATATAACAATATGTCACCGTAACAAAAATTGGATAATATCCCGAAAAATGGTCACCTACATCCCCTCTACTTATTTCATGATCTTAAATGACACACAATAGGTAGTCAATGGTTTCAACTAGAATTTCAAAGTCTGGGAAAATTATATTTGACTTACTGGCATCTTAGGAGAGGTGTCACTGAGGGTGCCACTTGCTTGCATCAGCACCAGGAGTTTGTTGAAAGCTGACATGTCTTGCTGGGGCTGCTGTATAGGTGGCTCTGATGGTCGCTTGTGACCACTCATGTCAGCCTCTAACTCAGCTACTGTCTTGAATTTGCCTGGAAACAAGTTGAAATGTTGATAGAGAAAGAAACTCCAGGGACTGAGACAACAACAAAGCCAGGTCGAAGCAAATCTTTTTCACGCGACAGATATGAGTATGGCAGCTATTTTCGAGAATTGGTTCGTTGAATCACTCCATTTATTTTCCATTTTTAAAAATTTGCCAAAAAATCATAAATTGACCCTAAAATGGCTTTTGAGCAGAAACTCTTTTCATAGGATATATACAGATAAACCATGAACACAATAGGAACATCATTCAATGTATGAAGGGTGGATATAAGTCCAGTAAATGTTCAAATATGCACTTCATGGCTTTACCTAAAGGTGGCGCTGGAGATGACCCCTCTATTTCATCAAGAGTCCTTGCTTTCATAGGAACACCTGAAAGTAAAACATGTACATGTATAAATCAAGATTATATCTTTTATAACCTGAACTTATAGGGGTGTGGATGGAGAGAAAATTGCCAAAGAATCACACAATAGTAAACAAGTCAAGTGTGAATGTAAGAGCCTTATAAATCCAATGGTTATGAATAAAGATTACATAATGGCTCATTATAAGTGTATCACTTATATACACATTTATATATGATATATGAAATAGTGAGCACTAATATGGACCCAAGAGTATAAGTAGACATACAGTACAAGCAACATGTATACTGCATATTTAGAACCATTATATGATCTATGTATAATGTGAATTTTTAAGTGATATTTGATTCAGACATTTATTTCTAACCTATCTAATCTAGTTGGAATTAGGTCCCCAGAAAACGGATTGAGTGTGGGGGGGGCAGTAATCCCTGTGCGTCATGATAGTATATTCAATTCATCATTATTAATTTTACAAAACAAAGTACTGAGAAACATGTTTTGTTACAAACTGCAGAGGCAGTAAATATTACCTATAGGTGGTGCGTGCTGTTGCTGCTGCCCTCTACTGTGTAAGCCAGACATCAGAAGTGCTTTTAGATGAGCCTCCATATTAGCTGCACTCAGTGCCTGTTGAGGGCCATTCTGGGCTAAAATCAAAAAATATGTCCTTCAAAATAATCTCAACCTCACATTGAAACCAGTCATTAATATGCAAAATGTCACCACCTGCCATTTGTTACAGAGGCTGAACGCCAGACACTGTCACAAAAAAGTTGGGAGACCACTACATCATAAAGCGAGAGTGGAGAGATGTTCAAAATAGATGGAAATTCAAAGAAATATGTGAAATTGAATGAATGTATTGACTGAAAATACTACCAACCTGTATTGCAAATGATTTATTTGATAAACAAAGTTGGAAGGATAGAGTAAAATTTGAATTATTCGATTTCTAACCTTGATGTGATAGATTGAGCAATGGTTGTATGTTGACTTTAGAGTTGTTAAGCATTTCCAAGAAGTTACGCTGCTGTTGTTCCTCAGGGAGCATGATGGGAGAGAACCCAGTGTGACGATGATCAGGTGTGGGAGATGGGATCACTGGACTCCTTTGTCCAATTAGATCTGAAAGAACATGAGCAAAATTCTGAGGATCTCCAATGCTACATGGTAGAGGTGTCAAGTATTAACCGGTTAACCGGTTAACCGCCGATAATGCCTTGACCGGTCTGTGTTTTTATGGGTGGTTAGTTGACCGTGTGTAATTCTGTTATTTCCCGCGCTTATATTGCATGCTAATCTGTTTGGTTTTAAAGTGTCAGTTTCACGTAAGCTACTCATACATGTCATAAGTCCGATAACTCCTTACAAACATCCAATCAGCAACTTTAATCCCTGCCACATTGCTTTCCCGCGCTTACTTTGCATGTTAATCTGTTTGTTTTTCAAGCGTCAGTTTCATGTGAGCTACTCATACATGTGATAGGTCCAATAATTCCTTACAAACATCCAATCAGCAACTTTAATCCCTGCCACATTGCTTTCCCGCGCTTACTTTGCATGTTAATCTGTTTGTTTTTCAAGTGTCGGCCATGTGTGTATGAATAGAATAGAGTAAAGTTTGACGAACGTAAAAAATAAACGCCGATATATCATTTTTCCAATTTTTTCAACTTTCAAGATCGAAGATGAAGATTTCATTTCAAATTTCCCGCCGGTTAACCGACTTTAACCGGTAAAACACCCGGTTAACCGGTTAATGCTCAAGCAGTTAATTGACACCACTACTACATGGTAATGTATTCTAACTGAAGTGAGATCAATTTTGGCAAGTATCATGATTGGTGATTTTGTTCGATGAAGCTATCAAAGAACATTGAGGTATGAAATATGACATAAGTAGATCATCTTTTTATTGTATAATCTGATGACATCCTACCATTGAGATAGTTAAAGTCTCCTTCATTGAACGATGAACGTCTGCTGTTGTTCTGGCTGTTACTTCTACTGTTCCCACGGCTGTTACTTTTACTCCCAGTTCCTTGAAACCAACGACTGAACCTACTGCCAGAGTTTTGTGGATCCTGTGGCACAGGGCTTTGGTTCTCCTAAAATATTAGATTATTTTTCAATTTCACAGTAATTTATTTCATTTTTTGTGCAATAATAATACATAGAATTTACAGGTTACGAATCAAATACAGAAATTATTGTACTTCAGGAAGTCATCATATCACGAGGAACAGTCCTTCACAATATCTTTTGCATTTTAAGAGATATCATAGAATAACATTTTAATGTTACGTTTATATTTCAATTACAATTTTAATGACTGAAGATTTGCGAATTGGGGAGTTTATTTAACTCTAAAACTGATGTTTGAAAAATAAATATGACTACAATATAACGACAGATAATTCCATCTAGCAGGGGACACAACAATAATTGGCAAATAATATGACATAGGTTACACTTAGATTTCTGATTTTATCAATTGACTTTTTGATGTCATTATGGGAAGGAGGAGAGATGGTAAAGAGAAGACAATTCTACATTGAATAAGGATACAAAGGAAATGCTGGATATATAATACAAGTGTTATAGAGAAATAACAAATGAGATGAATAAAGTCAAAAACTTCCACTACTGAAATAATGCCTGTTCCACATTTGCTCTGATTCATCGGTCGGCACCTGGCCGATTGAGTATCCTGTTCACAATTGTATTCAGTTTTGAACAGAATACTCAATCGGCCGGGCGCCGGCCGATGGATCCGAGCAAATGGACCCAGGCATATCTGGTATTGCAATTTCATCTGATTTATAAGAAAATGTCTCTTAGTTTATTCATTCAGAGATTCCCATCTTATCTACTCAACTCATAATTCATGTCAAAGTTAAACATGAATGGCAACATTTAAAAAAAAATGTATACACCATATAACCCAAAACTAAAAATGGAAAAGTCAACAAAAAATTAAGACTTAAAGGTAAATTAAGTATAAGTAGAAAAAATTAACAAACACCCATCGAACAAAACATAATTTATCAAGGCACCCTCATTTTCAACACTTCATTAGAAGTAGTAATGTCATAGAATTCTTTCCCAGGCAAAAACTCCATCAATGCCATACATATTTAAGTCTAAGCCAAAAATGTTAAATCTTGATTTTGATTTGTGCTGTAGTTTTGAATCTATTTTTGTTGTTTGCCCTCTTTTTGGTGAAAATGGCTTTTCTATATGCTTATATGAACTTTGTTCGATGGGATAACAAAACGAAAACAACAACAACAATATGACTGTTAAACCATGCACTTACAATAAGTGCATATAGTATATACATACATACATACAGAGTGTGTCAGGATAGAGTCACATTTACAAACATCCAGAAGTACCCACAAAGCAACTGACGAGAAATCTTATAATTTCAAATTTTACCGTGTAATAAGTAGGCAATGGCGGGCCACTTACAGCCAACTGCGGAAATGTGCCGATAAGGAATTGATCGAAATCAAAATCGAGACCAGTTTCTGGTGGTTTACCCCCATCAGTGGACTGCACTCCATGGTCAGGACCTCCAGGCAGCTCACGTTCGGGGGTAGGGTCACGTTCTTGGGGTTGAATCTCCACATTCCTTGGACACATCTCTGGAGAGCTGGAGTCGTTAGTTTCGATGCTTCCATTGCGATCAGAAACATTCTTGACTTCATGCGCCTCAGAATCACCCTCCATTGAAGTTCTCTCCTCACTGTCAGATGTTTCCTATAGAACAAAGGTTTAAACATTACATTCAGTTCAAGCAATTCACACACAAAATGCTTTCAAATTGAGAAATGAATTGAACATTTCATTCAGTCTAAGCAATTGGCACAAGCCTTTCAGGCCACCAATGCAACAATATGTTTGATTCTCATTTTATATAATCTAAAAAAACATTTATTCTATTGCCACTTTGGCAATAAACCAGAGACAATGTTCATTCATTTAAAGGGTGAAAATATGAAGAAACTATGCCATTAGTATTACCTTGAACCCTCGTAGCTCAATGGTGTCCTTCTGGCTTATAGGTCCCGCGGAGAACCATTCCGGCTCTTCCTCCTGTCTGCCATAACTTCGTCGATCTGAAAATAATCACCAATGAGAAACACAAAGGGCAGTATTTGTCTGTAAATTATATGAACAATAAACATATAGAGTGAGGGTTTCACACATACGCATGATCCTTAATTCTTTGCAATTTTTTGTGTTAGCTCCTACTATACAGGAAAGAGGGAAGATTATACTAAAAGCATCATTCCAAAAGATGGAAGCCCCCCCCCCTCCTTCCGGGATTGTGAATTTTTGTCTACTTTTAACATATCCCTAGACCCCAATAAAAAAGTGTTGAAATCGCAAGAATGTCAGCCATTATCTATGTCTTGAACACAGATCCAGGTACCCGGAGTTTACTAAAATGACCTAAAATAACCTAGGATAATATATTTTAGGTCAAGGTTTGACATTAACAGTACTTTGTGAGGAGGAATAATAAACCTAGTGATTCTTGAAAATAACCCCATGCCAGTCTTTTACTTTGCTACTACTTGATTAGACCATCGTGAAATATCATACATTCAAAAGCAACTTTTTATTTACCTCTGTTATTATAGCGTCTCCCCTCATCATAGTCACGATTCTGAAATCAGTAGAAATGTACTTATATAAGAGTACTCCGTAATTAAATGTTAATAAATAATTTCAATAATTCACAAGTAATATGAACAGTATGTGTACCCTTATGAAAAGATCAATGGAGTTCAATGTATTTCCCACTATGCAACAACCATAGATATACCATTGATACAACACTTGTAGTTACAACCATGGGTAGATGTATGAATGGTTGTTAAGGGTGGAAATGAACATTGATAACCACTGCATCGATTTTTAAAGACACCATTGTACAATATCCATTGAAACTACCATAGTACTATGTTAGTTAACATTTATCTAACTTTTTAGACTGTCTTAAAAGTTTTTATGACTTTAAATAGATGTCTCTCAATTTCATTGTGTTTTAGGGATCTTTTGTCAAGTAAATTTTATGTTGAAATACTATGTTTTATTTTAAACAAATAAAAACGGAAAATCAGATGATAGACTTCAAGCATACCTTCAGTCTAGCATATTCCATATGTAAATGATCATATTGAACAAGTCCTGTATCAACAGCACTACTTAATGAATAATGTATCTTTATATTCTAATATTGTTTATATTTTTATCAATATTTTTGACAGGTTTTGGGACATCCATAATTTTCTGTTAGTTTGTTAATATTTATATCAAACCTATCAATTATAACCAGTTTGGGGCGGGCTTTGAAATGTTATGAAGAATATAACATTTTGAAAATGATGTCCTGGGCTTAGAGGAAATTGTAATTTACTGTATAATAGAATATGAAAGTATACAATGAGAATTATATTCAAACAATCATGTCCATCATTGCAACTGTGGAACAACTCATAGATCTACCATGGGCATAATGTTGTATATCTGAAAATATTAAAATGCTCAATTTGAAATTCATATCCCAACTGTAATCTAGAATATGAATTTGAACACATTGAGAATTATATTCAAACAACCACTACAACGGTAGATTCAAACAACCACCGCTTCTGCAACTAAAGAAACAATGGTAGATCTACTATAGGCATGATGTAATAAATCTGAAATTATAAGAAAGCTCAATTTTTAAGTCAAATCATAGCTGTTATCTAGAATATGAAACTAAACAATGAGAATTATATTCAAGCAACCACTGTTTCTGCAACTGTAGAAACAATGGTAGATCTACCGTAGGCATGCTGTAGTATATCTGAACATAAAAAATACTCAGTTTTGAATTTTAATCATAACTGATATCTTGAATATGAAATTGAACAAGGAAAATTATGTTCAAACAACCACGTTTCTGCAACTGTAGAAACAGTGGTAGATCTACCATAGGCATAATGTAGTAGATCTGAAAATATGAAAATGCAAGATTTTAAATTCTAATCATAACTGATACCATAAAATATGCAATTGAATAAGGATAATTATATTCAAACTACCACTGTTTCTGCTACAGTAGAAACAATGGTAGATCTACTGTAGGCATGTTGTAGTATATCTGAAAATATAAAAATTCTCAATTTAAGATTATCATCATAACTGATATCTAGAATATGAAATTGAACAATAAGAATTATATTCAAACTACCACTGTTTCTGCTACAGTAGAAACAATGGTAGATCTACTGTAGGCATGATGTAGTACATCTGAAAATATAAAAATTCTCAATTTTAGATTAGCATCATAACTGATATCTAGAATATGAAATTGAACAATGAAAATTATATTCAAACTACTACTGTTTCTGCTACACTAGAAACAATGGTAGATCTACTGTAGGCATGATGTAGTACATCTGAAAATAAAAAAATTCTCAATTTTAAGTTATAATCATTAACTGATATCTAGAATATGAAATAACGCAGATGCGAGTAGGTAGTTACCACTTTCGCCACCAGGTGGCTCGTTCGGGTCAGATAACATGGCGGGTATAGTAGAAAGTTCCCTTTAACTTAAATTACGTCTGTTTTTAATAGTGGTTCAATTTTTATATAACTCTTATGTATCTAAAAGTTGCATGTACAAATTAAAATATGTCCAGTAAAAGAAAATGTTATCTGTCCAATACAAGAAAAGATATTTCACTTTTTGTGATTTTGTAACATGGGGTCTATGAGGAACAACCCGAACAAGAAGTCACATTTTCAAAAGAAATTTAATTTTCAAAGTTGATAAACAATTTTCGAAACCATATTTCTAGATGTACTTTTACATGTCTATTTCAAATATTTGTCTGTATTTTGAATATTTAAAGACCTAAATCAAGAATTTTTCTATTCGCATCTAGTCTATTGAACAATGAGAAATTATATTCAAACTACCACTGTTTCTGCTACAGTAGAAACAATGGTAGATCTACTGTAGGCATGATGTAGTACATCTGAAAATATGAAAATGCAAGATTTTAAATTCTAATCATAACTGATACCATAAAATATGCAATTGAATAAGGATAATTATATTCAAACTACCACTGTTTCTGCTACAGTAGAAACAATGGTAGATCTACTGTGGGGATGATGTAGTACATCTGAAAATATGAAAATGCAAGATTTTAAATTCTAATCATAACTGATACCATAAAATATGCAATTGAATAAGGATAATTATATTCAAACTACCACTGTTTCTGCTACAGTAGAAACAATGGTAGATCTACTGTAGGCATGTTGTAGTATATCTGAAAATATAAAAATTCTCAATTTTAGATTGTCATCATAACTGATATCTAGAATATGAAATTGAACAATGAGAATTATATTCAAACTACCACTGTTTCTGCTACAGTAGAAACAATGGTAAATCTACTGCAGGCATGATGTAGTACATCTGAAAATATAAAAATTCTCAATTTTAAATTATAATCATATTACTGATATCTAGAATATGAAATTGAACAATGAGAATTATATTCAAACTACCACTGTTTCTGCTACTGTAGAAACAATGGTAGATCTACTGTAGGCATGATGTAGTACATCTGAAAATATAAAAATTCTCAATTTTAAATTACAATCATAACTGATATCTAGAATATGAAATTGAACAATGAGAATTATATTCAAACTACTACTGTTTCTGCTACAGTAGAAACAATGGTAGATCTACTGTAGGCATGATGTAGTACATCTGAAAATATAAAAATTCTCAATTTTAAATTATAATCATTTTACTGATATCTAGAATATGAAATTGAACAATGAGAATTATATTCAAACTACCACTGTTTCTGCTACAGTAGAAACAATGGTAGATTTACTATAGGCATGATGTAGTACATCTGAAAATATGAAAATTCTCAATTTTAAATTATAATCATATTACTGATATCTAGCATATGAAATAGAACAATGAGAATTATATTCAAAGTACAACTGTTTCTGCTACAGTAGAAACAATGGTAGATCTACTGTAGGCATGTTGTAGTATATCTGAAAATATAAATATTCTCAATTTTAGATTAGCATCATAACTGATATCTGGAAAATGAAATTGAACAATGAGAATTATATTCAAACTACCACTGTTTCTGCTACAGTAGAAACAATGGTAGATCTACTGTAGGCATGTTGTAGTATATCTGAAAATATAAATATTCTCAATTTTAGATTAGCATCATAACTGATATCTGGAAAATGAAATTGAACAATGAGAATTATATTCAAACTACCACTGTTTCTGCTACAGTAGAAACAATGGTAGATCTACTATAGGAAGGATGTAGTACATCTGAAAATATAAATATTCTCAATTTTAAATTATAATCATATTACTGATATCTAGAATATGAAATTGAACATGAGAATTATATTCAAACTACCACTGTTTCTGCTACAGTAGAAACAATGGTAGATCTACTATAGGAAGGATGTAGTACATCTGAAAATATAAATATTCTCAATTTTAAATTATAATCATATTACTGATATCTAGAATATGAAATTGAACATGAGAATTATATTCAAACTACCACTGTTTCTACTACAGTAGAAACAATGGTGAGCTACTGTAGGCATGATGTAGTACATCTGAAAATATAAATATTCTCCATTTTAATTAGAATAGCATCATAACTGATATCTAGAATATGAAATTCAACAATGAGAATTATATTCAAACAACCACTGTTTCTGCTACTGTAGGCATGATGTAGCATATCTGAAAATATTAAAATGCTCAATTTTAAATTCATATCCCAACTGTAATCTAAAATGATATGAATTTGAACACATTGAGAATTATATTGCACTTCTCAGCTTATAATTGGTATTAAAGCTATACATTGTATACTGCTATAAGGGATAAACAGTGTAACGACCCTTGATAACAAGTTGCTACTACAGTCCAGCTGTAGTGGCTTAAGCCTCTTTAGCTCAGTCGGTAGAGCATCAGACTTCGGAACCAAGGGTCCTAGGTTCGATTCCCATGCGGGGCATTGAATTTAGCACACTTTCTTTCAATTTCTTTATCTGGCTTGTTACACTATGCTCGTTAGTTGTTAGTTAATTAGTTATTCCCCTGGGGCGCCCTCGGGTCATTACATTGGTGTCAGATGTGGGATCAGAGCATTGGTTGTATCCTTTGCGCCCGTGTGTATATGGTAGTCACTGCTAGGGAAGCAGGGCTGACCACGAAGGCGTGGTCCTTTCAAAGGGGGAGATAGTGTAACGACCCTTGATAACAAGTTGCTACTACAGTCCAGCTGTAGTGGCTTAAGCCTCTTTAGCTCAGTCGGTAGAGCATCAGACTTCGGAACCAAGGGTCCTAGGTTCGATTCCCATGCGGGGCATTGAATTTAGCACACTTTCTTTCAATTTCTTTATCTGGCTTGTTACACTATGCTCGTTAGTTGTTAGTTAATTAGTTATTCCCCTGGGGCGCCCTCGGGTCATTACAACAGAATACAGATACAGGACTTAGGTTTACATGGAAACTCAGAATCAGTAAACATTTTTAAAGTGTATACAAAAACTATACATGTCGCCACTAGCCATGTAGGTTCTACAATGAAT